CGGGGCCTGATAAAAATCTTTATTTTAGAAGTAGGCCAGTTATTAAACACTCAAACATTTGAGAAGATGAAGCAGTAGTGCACATGTGTAGGATGGGTGGGAAGGCTGCTGTTTTCTGTGGCTATACCCACGTAGCATATTTTCTCCTGGATAGAAACTTCATATGACATAAAGAGTCGTGTCCGTCATAGGGTCAGGGTTTCCACTGACAAAAATGCTTTGTATGAAACCTATCCAAACTTGGAACACAGAGAACATGCCACGTGGGGCATATGTTCTGCCAGGAAGCCTACTTCACCATCCAAAACGCCTGGCAGTTGTCAGAACTTGCAAGGGGAATTTTGTTTACTTTGTGAAATGCCCAGTAGGTTCCAAGGGTCATTTAGGAATACTGTCACACAGACATTAGGGTAGATACAGTCTTTAACTTACATGTATCTACTAAAGGGAACATTGTCATCTCAATATTCAGTTTATCTGACCAATATTCTATGGTCCATCAATAAGATTCCTTATATTGTGAAATACCAGTAGGAAAAAAATGTCTTATATTATTAAATATTATTTTTATGTTTTCCAAATATCTTTTATCCAAGACCAGCTAGATAATTAACCACTATGTGTGATATATTGTCTCTCCTGAGAATCTTGACAGTAATACTTAAGTGAAATAAACATTTCCGATAATACAAAAACTTCAATGAAATAAATTACTTTTCATTATTGTTTAATAAAGGCCAGAGATTTGATAATCAACATAAAAGAACAAGTCCCTAGGGTTAGTAATAGTTTGAACTAATATTTATATAATTTCAAAGTAATGCTTCAATTATTCATACAGAGTCACCTTTATTTTAAATATGATTACTCTCTCAACTTCACAATACATGATATGACTATTCAGTAGGGTAGTTTCAGATGCAGTGAGGGTCTGAGAAAACAACAGGCAGATGTTTCATAGAGGAGGTGGCAGACAAGACGGAAATGTGACAGACGTCAGAAAAGGGGACAGGCAGCAGCAGGCAGAAGTGGCAGGCACAAACGGGGACAGTAAAGGCAGGGAGAAGCAAAAGTAAATATGGCAAGAAGAAGCAATGTGAGGATGTGAAGATGAAACTTATAAGTGTAGTGGGTACAATATTCAGTCATGTTTAATAAAAAGGAAATACAAATATACATGCATCTATGACAATAGAAAAATTAAGTTTAGTAGACTCTGTAATCTTGTAACTTTTTATAAGATGCTTTAATTCATGTATGTGCTCATCAGTATGTAGGAAAGACAGGAAGAAGTCAGAGCATAACAGTATTTGTACACTGATATTCCTGTCCCAACAGGACAGTGAGTGTAACCGTCCTGATCTCTCTCCTGTGTGTCTAGAAAAAGTGCCATTAAATGAACAGGTGTTTGTGTTTGATGGGCTCCATGACTCAGTTTCATAGAGGCTGTGCTGTTTACTGGTAGCTAGAGCAATCACTTCCTAAACCTCATGGCATGAAGCCTGACGCAGCAGTTCTTTCTCACTCCTTCCTTATGCTGTGATGAATGCTTTTATCTAAGGGTCAGCAGCCCTTCTTAGCCACGGATGCCATCCGTGGCCCTTGGGATGCCTGAGGCTAAAGGAAAAGACAGCAGAAGAGAAAGAAGGGCTGAGAAAGACTATTTTTAAGAGAAGGAGGGGGAAAGTGCAGAATTGGGGAAAAAAGGGAGAGGGAATCTGGCAGGAAAGCAGTTCTTTGGGTGGGGAGGAAGATTGAGTCTGACCATCAAATGCCTCATTAGGGCTGGTCAGCGGATTGCACCACAGACCACCTTCCTCTTCACTTAGCCACTCTTGGGCATTTGATTTAAAAATACACATTTATCCAGGGGATTCCCAGAGGGAGCAGGACTACACGACTCCTTGAAGTCATGACCCTCTCATCACTTGATCACAACAGTTGTGTTATTCCCACACTGCTATGCAGTTCCTACCCTCCCATTCTTCTCTCTCCCAAACTCTGGTGGTTCCCCAGGAACTAGTGCTTTATGGTCAACAAACTTTTTTACACTTTTAACCTTTGGTGGAAATATTGTGTTCTATTTCCTTGCTTTAATTAGAACCTGGCTGTCCTTTGAGCACACCACTTTCTCAGCAGGCCTCTGGATGGAGGAATTCACTCTTTCATATTCCTTGCATTATGAGTATGGGTATCCTCTGGTCCCTCATGCAGGTTTCAGATAATTATTTCTCATTTTTGTAAAAATTTCCATTCTTTTGGGCTTCATGAAACCCGGTTTTTCCCTAACTCTACCTGTTGCTGTCATCATTTACTGAACACTACCTTTCTTTTTTTTTTTTAATTTATTTTTAATTTATTATTTTTTTTGAACACTACATTTCATTCATGGAATAATCTTGGTGACTAACTCTATACCTCAACTCTAGATATGATACATTGTCCACTTGAACAACTTCTTCAACATTTAAGTCTTACCACTTCATTTTCTATCACATTATTTCTTCCACCTCACTTGGGTCACTTGCTTCTGCAGTCACATCTGGAATACTGAATACCTGTTCTTTCTGAAAGGATAAGAGAGCCCAGCCTCTGACAAGGACACTTACTCTTATAGCTTATTTGCTCACTAACCCAATCTCTCCTTATTTGACTTCAGTGAGATCTCTACTTTCTCTCTCATGGCTTCATACATCATTATGCCAGTAACTCTGAATTTTCTATCTCTTGTTCCACATAGCAATACTCTGCTATACAGTTCTACTTGGATGTTTTAGAGATTTCAAACACAAATGCACTCCTCTTCCAAATACCTTCTATCAGTAACTGTACTATTATCCAACTGATTTTTCACATCAGAACCCAGAGGGTCCCCTACTAAATCTCTATCAATCCCTCCAGCATTCTATCTTACTAATCAACTTTACTTCAAATATCTCATGACTATATCCATTTCTTTCTATCTCCACTACCCCTGACCTCATCAAAGCCACCATCACTATTGCTGTAGCCTCCTGATCTGGTCTCTCCCAAGTTTTTCTATTTTTTTCTACTCCTACTAATCTAATTGCCACACTGCACAAAAGGGGCTTTTAAAGATTCAAATCCGATCATGGCACTTCTCTGCATATAACATGTAATGCCTTTCTGTTTATATGGAAAGAAAATTCTTCAATCTTCAGTGGCCCTTCAGCATCTGGTCCCTCTGTGGTTTCCACTCATTTCATTCACTTGTCCTTTGTGCCTTCTACACTGCAGCCACTGAATTCCACTGTGTGACTTCTTGTCTATGTATTGTTTTTTGTTTGTTTCTGTCTGGCAGGCTCCTCCACACAGGACCATTTTTCTCTTCTTCCCAGCCTGGTTAATTCATTCATCCTTTAGACATCTACTTAACGGTCATTCCCTCAGAGAAGCCAGGTCTGATTTTCTTTTGTAGGGCTTATCACAATTATATGTGAATTATTTGTGTATTGTCTGTGTTCCTACTCCAACTCAAATTCTGTCCCCCACCCACCCCCCCTTACCAAACTGTAAAATCCACAAGGACAGCTATCGTGTCTGTTTTATTCAGGAGTGTATGCTGTGTCTGTGAGGCCCAGCACACTGCCTGGCACACACTATGTGTCCAATAAATAGGTATGGAATGAATTAATGAATGAATGAGTGAAATTTATTCCAACTTTGGGATTCTGGTTATCTCAACACACTAGAGAGTAATATCATTGATACCTTCAGGTTTTACTCAAAAATGGTAGGAATAAACAGCAATTAGACATACTTTAATTTAACCACACTTTTGTCAGGAGGGGGAGCCCTAACTCTTGAGTTTCAAATTACAGTTCATTTTCCTCAAAAAATACAATCTTTAAAAATAAAGGAGTTTTAATTCTCAGGCCTATATTTCCTACTACAATCATATATTGATTTGTCCTTTGTCTAAATTTGGTTAGGGGGATCCCTGGGTGGCGCAGCGGTTTGGCACCTGCCTTTGGCCCAGGGCGCGATCCTGGAGACCCAGGATCGAATCCTACATCGGGCTCCTGGTGCATGGAGCCTGCTTCTCCCTCTGCCTGTGTCTCTGCCTCTCTCTCTCTCTCTCTCTCTCTCTGTGACTATCATAAATAAATAAAATAAAAAAAAATAAATTTGGTTAGGAAGAAAAAAAAAGCATGTTTAAGGTGGGCAAAGAACAAAAAAGTATTGAGAAAGTTTTTCATTACATAAATGCCCCTTAGATAGAAAGTCCAATTAGAGATCCTGTTTGGATTTCAAAAAAATTTTTTTTAAAGATTTTATTTATTTATTCATGAGAGACACACAGCAAGAGACACAGGCAGAGGGAGAAGCAGACTCCATGCAGGGAGCCCGATGTGGGTGGGACTTGATCCCAGGTCTCCAGGATCACGCCCTGGTGTAAACCACTGAGACACTCAGGTTGCCATGGATTTCTAGTAATTTTCTTAGAATTCTGAATGAAGCACAGGAAAAAATTAGGAAAATAAGGCCATGTTTTGGCTATACCATGAGATACCAAACCATGTCATTTAAAAGAACACTACCTCCGAAGTACATTAACTTCCTAAGCACTCTATTTTTGACTCGAATAAGGCTGGGCTCATTCCTTTTCCCTGCTATCCAGGGCAAATGAGAGAATGAGGAAGAACCCCTCTTTAAGTAAATCTCTAATTTAACCAGAGCTCTATTTGTAGTGGACAGAAATACTATCAAAGATGATGGATGGGGAACTGAGATTCTAAGACATTACCTTCTGCCACAGTGGACCTACGGCCAGCCACGTTAGAAAAAGCATTTTTGTGTTCCTCCCACAGACGGTGTAGATGGTAAAGCTGATTTCAGGCAGTGTTCTTACAGATAGAAACAGTGGTTTCTATACTTACTGTGCCAGCCTTGCTCTGATTTTGATGCTCTCACTGCCAAACGCTGATTTCTATTACACTGCTCTGACTATGCTTCCGCATGTTTTTAACCTACTTTACCTTCACAGGGATGTCTTCTTCCTGGCTGGCTTTCTCTGAGGTGAAGACATATGAGATTTCTTTGTGAGATGTGGTCTGGCGGCAGATGGCACACTTAATGGAACTTCTGTGAGACCCCACGCTGTACTGTTCAATTATAATTGAAATGCATTCATTACAGAAACAGTGTCCACAGGTCAGTACTGCCCACTGAAAAAGAAAATACACAGAACATATCTTAGGGAGATGCTATCAAAGACGCATTTTAATTTATAAATATGTTAAAAAGAGGAGAAGGGAATCCTAATTTCACTTCCTAAATGTTTTATGACATTAACATTCTAAGTCATAAAAGCTAAGTTGTATTTTAACTTCTTGTACTTTGACTACTTTTGAACTACTTTACCTTAACCAGAGTACGCTTTCATAGTCTTTAGTTCTACTCACTCTAATTGTGAGCATTAACAGTCAGCCACCATTATTTTGTAAGAAGTTGTTGTTTTCATTTCAGTATTTAGGAAAAATGCAAATTACTCTTTTAGCATGCAACTGCAGATATAATAGAGGGATTGAGAACAACATTAATTTGGAGATAATATCCTCAATATATTCTATATAACTCATTAAGTGGATTTACATTTGCACATGCTACAGTATTTGATAGAATGTAAGATGGGCTGATATCTCAGATTTATTTTAAAAGTGGTTCTGAATACATTAAAAAAGCCTACATAAATTAATTAAAAGACATTTTCGAAAACTCTGTTGTTCTACTTCAAGAAAAGTACAATAGTTCTGACTCTTGGAGTATACCATGGAGACTCCCTCTTTTTGGCAATGAGGGATATAGAGGAGTACTGGTTTTAGGTGAGGTGTCAGTTCTAAAAGCTATGGCATCTTATGTAAATTATTTAACTTTTTTCACTTGGTAAACAACAACAAAAACTGAATGGTATTATGAGTGACTAGATTCCTAAGCACTAAGCTGTGTTTTTCTAGATTTGGGCATGTATGAACATGCATGGAAAGAAGCTGCTTAGCTGGGCCCACACGAGATACTTTGCAGGATAAACTAAAAAGCCCCTCAGAAGGGAACTCACACTAAGGGAAGAGAAGAATAAGGTATATGAACTTGATCTGAAAACAGTTTTTGAGAAGGGGGAGGAGCTGTTTAGGGTTCATGCTGCTGTCTAGCTGCACATCTGCTCTCAAGGACTTGTGGCAGTCCTTGGGAGTAAAATTAAAGAGCTGTTTCACTAGCAAATTTTTTTTTTTTAAGATTTATCTATTTATTTGAGAGAGACAGAGAGCACATGTGTACACACACAGAGGGGAGGGGCAGAGGGAGAGGGAGAAGGGCAGAGTCCCAAGCAGATTCTGCACTAAGTTCAATTCCATGACCCCGAGATCACAACCTGAGCTGATACCAAGAGTCAGTCAGTCGCTTAACTAACTGAGCCACCAGGAGGCCCTTGCTGGCATTTTTATAAACATGGCATCATTTTTCTGTACCCTGTGTACCTTTTGTGCCAGTGAGAATGAAACAGAGGGGCACTTCCTCTATTTGAGAAAACTTTTGTGGCTCATGAGAGCTCAGAATGGAAAAGCTGAACAAGACAAGTCCATCTATACCTGCAATTCAGGAGAAATCAGACACCTGCTGTCAGGGCCTCAGAAGTGACTGGAAGCTGACTGAAGTAGCTCAAACAGAAGACAAGTGGCAATGTCTCCAAAGGTGTTAGTCAGTATATGAGTTATCTCTGACTGATTTCTCTAAATTAGGATGGGAAGAAGAGAACTGGGAAGCTAAAGAATCTAGAGTTCCTACAGACTGTGGTGAGGAACAGAATTAAAAAAGTAAAGTATTGTTACTCTTGTTGTAATCCAGTATGTTCTCCTAACTGAAGGAAATATGGGTCATACTATAATATGGGAATACTAAAATTAAATGAAATAATATACATGAAAGAACTTTAAAACCAGGAAATGTTTAAGACATAAATTAAAATTTCTAATTCATCCAGTTGCATGAGTTTCATTGAAACTAAAAGTAAAAAAGACAGTGCTTACTTCATGATCTTTTCCATTTTTCTCACTTTTATCACATTTTTACCAGTGACTTTTCTCAGAAATCACTAGCATCTGTACATTACTATTCTGCTTGGTTTCCAAAGTAATATCGATGCATTTACGATTCATTATCAATAAAATATTTAAAATCTCATGGTCTCCATAAATTGTAGAAACTAAAAGGTATTTTCTTTCTGATTACTACTGGTCAGAATGTGGAGCTCATACACTTAACTCTTTACTCTTGGTTCCATTGAAAAAAAACAGCCAAGAACACTTTTACAGACTTCAAATTTTGAGGAGGAGCAATTAATATTCTGATATTGTATATATTGACTTATACAAAGTAAAGATTCAAAATCAAAATCAGGGATCCCTGGGTGGCACAGTGGTTTGCCACCTGCCTTTGGCCCAGGGCGCAATCCTGGAGACCCGGGATCGAGTCCCACATCGGGCTCCCGGTGCATAGAGCCTGCTTCTCCTCTCCCTCTGCCTATGTCTCTGCCCCCCCCCCTCTCTCTCCTCTCTCTCTCTCTGTGACTATCATAAATAATAAATAAAAAAAAACAAACCAAAAAAAACAAAATCAAAATCACAGTTAGTAGGATAAAAGAATCTCTTTGAGGAGAATATGGTGCCAAAGTTTATAGAAATTTGTACACTGGGGCACCTGAGTGGCTCAGTTAAGTGTCTGCCTTCAGCTCAGGTCATGATCCCAGGGTCCTGGGATCAAGTTCCACATTGGGCTCCCTGCTGGGTGGTAGCCCGCTTCTCACCTTGCCCCTGCTTGTGTGCATGCTCTCTTTATGCTCTCCCTCTCTCATAAATAAATAAAATCTTAAACAACAAAAAAAGAAATTTGTATGCCAATATTCAAAAAGAAGTATTTATTCTTTATTATAATGGCCTTGTAAAAATAACTGAATTCCCCTAGGACAGATATTATTTGTATTTTAAAGCCTGATATTATTAAATATTAATAATTCCAAGTAAAAGCTATGTTGCCACACCTTTGTAATACCTTAAATAAATCAATGTATGCCCTATTATATTTTCATATAATTACTAATAAACAGGTTTATTTATTTAGACTTGATCTTGTGACTAGAAACAATATGCAAAACTATGCACCTTTAATGAAAAATATGGGGTTATTCTAGAAATATGTTTTCACCTATTACTTAAGGAGGGACACTGCTCAAACATATGTGGTACTCAGCTGGTCATTTTAACCTTTGGCCCTGTTTTTAAGACACAGGTAATTTTTGCCTTGTATATAAAATTGTCAAGAGGGACGCCTAGGTGGCTTAGCGGTTGAGCATCTGCCTTCAGCTCAGGGCATGATCCCGGGGCCTGGGATCGAGTCCTGCATCAGGCTCCTCTCAGGGAGTCGGCTTCTCCCTCTGCCTATGTCTCTGCCTCTCTTTCTCTCTGTGTCTCTCATTAACAAATAAAGAAATCTTAAAAAAAAAAAAAAAAACTGTCATGAGAGAAAAAGTGAGCTATTGTACGTAAATGCCTTTGAAAAGTGTAAAGCATCTTATAAATACATATGATACTTATTATTATTTCACCTGTTTTCCCAGCTGCCGAGCACAGATTGGACAAGGTTCTGGATTAATGCCTCCTGATGTTTTATCTTGAGACTGTTCAAAAAAATAATTAAAAAAGATTAGTTGCATTTTAAAATCTGATATGCACTTTATAACTCATCTATAAAAGTAAATGCTGGCAATTGCTAGTTAAATAACCTGATAATTAAGGTGATTTAGTAATGTATTACTTAATATTCCTGGGATTTACAAATAACATTCAAGGAACAAATAAAAAATGGAAATAACTGTCATTAGAGTTTATTAAAGTTACTATATTACGAATTTTTGTGACTAAGGCAAAATGAAAGGCAAATTATAACAGATAAATTCTCAAAATTTTACTTTTAAGCTAGATTTTGTATATGTATTATTTAAAAAAATACAATTTGGAATTCTGAAATAAAGGCCCCTTAAATACTATACAGACAATATTTATTCTGTGCATCCACCGGACATGTGATCACAGACTTGGGAAGAGGCAGCATTTATTTACATATCTCCTTACTAATATGCGTTTCTTCTCATTTTGTAATCTCATTAAGGCAAAGCACATAACTAGAGAGCAGAAATATCTGATTTGAGACCTATTTTGCCTGGAAATTATATTGAAATATAACAGTTCTCTTCAAAATATCTTTAAAACTATTACAAAAATTTTTAACTCAAAGTCATGGGCAGGTTTTAATATTAATACTGAGGAAAACATAAAGAAAAGTAAATTAGACTCATTGATCATTGAAGTTTAAAGTCTGTGGTTTCATCAACCAAATATTTTTAAAAAATTGGTTTTGATTATCTTTTGACTTTTGTTAAGTAGTAAAAAAAAAAGTAAATTGTGCATAGATTCAGTAACTCTATAGGCTCAAAACAATTCCATTAACTAAAACATAACGAGTTTTTTTTAAATTGAATTTTTTCTTCTATTACTGATTTCTGTTTCAGATAATATATAAGAAACCACCTAAAATCTTAGTGGCTCAAACATGAGTTTCTCGTGATTCTACAGGTCACCTGAGTGATCTGGGTGTGGACTGAGTTCTGAGGGGCTGGATGGTCCATTATGGCCTCATGTTGATGTCTAGCAGCTGGGAGACTAGCTGGTCTGAAGAAAGGGCTAAGCTGAGATTTCTGCTCCTGAAGAAAGGTAATCTGGGCTGCTTCACAAAGACTCAAAGTTCCAAAGAGCAATAAGATTGTGAAAACTCCAATGTACATGTATTTTTTACATCTCCGTGCTTATGTCACAGGCCAAAACCAGGTCATATGATAAAACCTAGAGTCAGTATGGGAGATCATCCATGGGGATGCATACAATATGGGGCATTAGGCAGCATTTTTGTAAGCTATTTTTCATAATTTACAACATCTCTTTTTAAAAAATGTACTTAGAGCAAGAATTACTATTTTTCCATAAAGGGCCTAGTTGTAAATACTGCAGGCTTTGTGGCCATATGGTTTCTGTTGCAACTACTCAACTCTGCCATTGTAGCATGAAAGCAGCCATAAACAATATGTAAGGAAATGAGTCCAACAAAACTTTATACTATGAATACAAAACAGGTAGTGAGCTGGATTTGGCCCATGTATAGTATTTTGCAGATCCCTGATTTAAAGTTATAAATTTCTTCTAAGTGCATCTTATCTGCACATTGTCATATGTTCAATTCAGGACATTTTCTAATTGTGATTTCTTTAACTCACAAGTTATTTAGGAGTGTGTTAATTTCTGAATATTTGGAGATTCATCTGGCTATCTTTCCATATTCATTCCTAGTTTAATTCCTCTTTTGTCAGGAAACATAATCTTGTAGAATTTCAATCCTTTAAAAATTTTAAGAGTTGCTCTTTGAATCAGCACAAGGTCTATTTTCGTAAATGTTCCATGTACCGTTAAGAAAAGTATATTTTGGGATGCCTGGGTGGCTCAGCAGTTGAGTGTCTTAGGGCGTGATCCCAGGATCTGGGATTGAGTCCCACATACGGGAATTTTGGGGAGCCTGCTTCTCCCTCTGCCTTTGTCTCTGTGTCTCTCGTGAGTAAATAAATAAAATCTTTAAAAAAAAGAGTGCATTTTATAGCTGCTTTGTCGATTAGGTCATCGTTGTTTAGTGTTCAAATGTTAGCTATCTTTACTGATTTTTTTCTATCCATTTGGCTGACATAGGAAAGAATCTTGTGATAGCTTGTATCGGCTTATTACCTTCTTCCTCTGTGTTAGGTATTTCAGTTCTGTGTGTGTTTTATATCCTATACATTGGCATGCTGCTTTGCACAATCAGTATTTTCTATTTACCTGTATACTTAGGCTTTCTTTTGCCCTGCATTCCTCCTTCCTGCACGTCCATCTTTCAATCTGGGATAATTTCCCTTCGATTCAAAGAACCTCCTTTAATATTTGTTATAGAGTGAATCTATTGGGAAGGAATTCTTTAAGTTTTTGTTTATCTAAAAACATCTTAATTTCGTTTTTCAAAACAGCATTCTAAAGATGCTGTTCCACTGCTACCTGGTTGCACAGCATAAAACCATTGAAACCTGGCAATAGTGGAATGTCATCTTTAAAATGCTAAAAGCAAACAGTTTCTCTGTGTAGTCAACAAGGAGAAGGTAGAGTCACCAGTTTTATGGTGCTCCTTTGAAAGTATTATGTCTTTTTTGTCCCAATTCTAATTGCTTAAAACTTTTTTTCTTGATTTTTGGTTTCTCACAGTTTGATTATGATACTTGTAGGTGTTTTTTAAAAAAATATTTTTATTTTGTTTGGATTCTTTGAGCTTGTTGAATCTATAAGGCATTATTTTATTGTCTTTCATCAGTTTGGGGAAACTCTCAGCCATTATCTATTCAGGTTGCTCTGGTACCATTTACCTCTTGTTCTCCTGGAACTTCAATGACATGTATGCCAATCATATGGCTGTGTCCCACATCTTTTTCGCTATATCCGGTTCTTTATTTTTATTTATGTTTTTTCAAACTCAATATTTTTGGTTGAATTACACCTGAATTCCCTACTTCTGGGTCTAGTCACCATCCAATGAGTTTTTAATTTCAGGATTGGATTTTGCCTTTCCAAAATGTCCATTTGATTCTACTGTATACATTCTAGTTTGTTTTATCTATAATGTCCAGAATTTCCCCTTTCATGTATGAATCATAATTAAAGTCCTTTCCTGCTATGTCCACAATCTGGATTATGTGTAGATCTGCTTTGATTGTCCATCTTTCCCCTTTTAATTACTGGTCACATTTTCCTACCCTTCATGTTTCTTGTAATTTCCTATTGTACGCTACACTTCCTAGTTTATTTACACAACAAACTGCACGGACAAAATTAAATGTTATTTTTCTCCACAGAGGATTGCCTCTACCTCAGTAGGCAGTTAGGTTGATGCGTGAGTGGCTGATTATCTCAATTCAGTAAAAAACTGAGCTAGTTTTGGGGATGGGTTGTAAGGTATGTTCAAAATCAAGCCACCAAGTTTTAAATGTCTCAAGGATAAGACCCGTTACATGTTTATTGTTGGCCCCTTGCTCCCTTGGGGAGGAACTATTTCCTAAGTGCTGTGAAACTGAGATTTCACTGTATTTCTAGTTCAGGCCCAGCTGTCATGTAACCCTTATCACTCAGCGTGAAGTTTGTTGTGTATCTGAAGCTCCTCAAAGTTCCAAAGTGTAACACTAACTCACCTGGCCACCAAAAATTCTACTGATTTCTTTCTCCTATTTGAGACCCTCTGCAATACTGACCTTAATCTCAGCCTGTATCCAGATACCGCAAATGTTTTCAGGCAAGACAATAGCCAGCAATCTCAGCTCACCTAGAAAGAGCTCTTCCTTCCCTGGAATGTCATTTCACCTCAACCTTTTTGCTTCCACAAGTCTCCACTAATTTAAAAATAAGATGTTAATAAGGTAATGGCCAGACATCACTGCTATTCTCATATGAGAAGTAGCAGTCCCCAAACAAAGATCTTGTGTGGTTGCTTAGTATTCAGAAAATTTCTTCTGAAGAACCCATTTTTTTAATTGAGATCTAACTGACACATCACAGATTAATTTCAGGTATATAGCATAGTGATTCAATATTTATTTATTGGAGATCTCCCTTATGCTTTGAAATTTTACTAGAAATTTACCAGTTTTTTGTTACTTGATCAACAATATAAAATGTTCACCTTTAAATTTCCTCAGAACTCTTGAATGTATGTCATTCTGCTTTAAATAATTAATTTATATTTTATTTCCCAAGTTGGTTGAATCACTAACAACTTATTAAATCACAATTTGATTAGTGTCTATGATCTGTCAACATCAAATTACATTAAGTTGCTTGAGGCTAAGGACCAAGTCTGTCTCAAACTCCTATTATAATACCTATACATCATAGGTGCTTACTTTTGTATCTGGTGATTGCCAGAAAATAGAAAAATTTGCTTAGTTTATTATTTTTTATTTAATTAAACATAGTCACATAAAATTGGGATTATACTCCATTTATAATTTTATTTTTTTCTCTCAACTTTCTAACATGAGCATTCTTATCTCATTTATTTTCTGAAAACACCATTTACAATATTTATACCATAACCTCATTGACTTTATATGCAAATAATTCATGACTTTATATGGAAATACAGTACTTTTCATTGGACACTTGGTCTTCTAGTTTTTACTATTATAAATAACACTGCAATAACTATCTTTATGTTTAATTCACTTCCCAAATTTCTGTATCTTTAGAGTATTCAGGAAAAGTTCTAAGAACTACTGTTTAAAGGATATGAATTCTCTAAAATTGTTAATACATGTTAAAGTATTTTGAAGAAAGGGCTATATAAATTTATATTTCCATTGGTAATATACAAAATATCCATTCACTGTCCTTTTACCACTGTGGAGTGTTGTTTTAAAAATCTCTGCCTACTTGTTGGCAGGAAATGGTATCAGTTTAATTTGATTTTTCCTTCATAATGTTTTTTCTTACATTATTAACTGAATTGGATTTTCAAGGCAGAGTATAACCTTAGAATTTTTATTCTTTTAAAAACGATTCAACAAATACAGGATGGATATCAATTTATATCCTATAACTAACAATTAATTATCTCTTAGTTTTGACTTTCACATTTAAAGTATAAAAAACTAATATTCAAAACTCACATTCAGGAACATCAAGAAATTTTTCCAAATGTTATTTCTCTAATGCTAGCACTTTGTGTGAAACTGACTTTTAAAAGTTTGCCCCATCTAGGGTAACTGGGTGGCTCAGTCAGTTAAGTGTCCTATTATTGATTTTGGCTCAGGTCACCACTTCAGGGATGTGAGGTGGCAGGGCTCTGTGCTCAGTTTGGAGTTGGCTTGAGATTCTCTCTCCCCCTCTTCCTCTGCCCCTCCCCTCCCACACTCACTCATGCTCTCTCTCTCTCAAATAAATCTTTTTTTTTTTTTTTTCCTCTCAAATAAATCTTAAAATTTTTTCCCCCAATCATTTTCTCCTGCCAGGATAATACTAGCAGTCATCATAGTAATATCAGCAACAATACGATAATATTAATTAATAAAGACCTAGAAAGTGCTTAATAAATGAGGAACGGCTCTAGCATTTCATGTATATTAATTTCATACAGTCCTGAAGAGAGTCCTACAACAGAATGTTGTTATTCTCATTTTACAGATGAGGCAAACAGAGGTAAATAACTTGAATAAAAGTCTCATATGTAAAAAATACTGGTGTTAAGATCCAAACCTGAACTGGGTCCCAAAGTCTTCTTCTTAACTACCATGTTATTTTACTTATATGAATGTCCAACTTTTCATTTTATCCACGCTAGGATTTATTGATTCACTTTACTGTATTTTGTATGAGTTTTCTTTCTTTCTTTCTTTTTTTTTTGTATGAGTTTTCAGTACCAACTCTAGTCTACTGCCTTCCTTCATTTATCCTATCCAAAAATCTATCTTTCTGATAAGGTACTGCCAACAGCCATTTATCCCTGCAATAAAATTGAACTATTCATCAATGTCCAATATAATACATTGCTCACAACTCAGAAAATGTGTTTTAAATTACATTAAATAATTAATCATTATATCTTCTGATTTAGTAGCCTTCCAAATATTTAATAGCTCCAAATAACAAATTGAAAAAAATTTATTTACGCATTAATGTTGCACATATATGTACATATAGATTATGCAATGCAACCTTTGCCCAGAGGTATACTGTAATACTTTCACTATTCAAGATTCTGAACAACAGTCTGTTTACATTGTTCTATATTCTAAACTGCGCATCCTTTATATAATCTGGTAACTTATATTTTCTATAGGTTCACCTGTTGTGATTTGTGTAGCTACTACAGACATAACTAGTATTCTAATATAATTAATACAAACAAAAGATTAAAGAAAACCCTGTACCATTAATTATGGGACTAAGAGATTAAATGGAAGGAGTCACTAAAGTTTATTGATATATAGCATGGGAAAAAGTAGCATCTTTTAAACACAATACCTTCTCCAAGTTAGTTAGGTAAAGAAGCTGCCCAAGTTTTTTCTGAAGCTGTGAAGTAGCAACGGCTTTATCATTTAGTAGTTTTATACGATTTTGTTCTACCTAAAAAACAAAACAAAACAACTCTTTATTCTCTCTTATAAAATGGTAAAATTATAATAAACATTACAGTTCTTCCTCAGTAATTTGTGTCCTATTTTAAGAAAACCCACTGACATGTGAAAACTCAATTTTGCCAAATGGATACTAGATATTTTAAAAGGAAATACACACACAGAGCTCTATAGAAGACAAAATTCAATACAAAATTCTTTTAAATAGGAAATTTCCAAAAAAAAATAAATAAATAAATAAAAATAAATAAATAAATAAATAGGAAATTTCCCTATATACTTTAAGTTGGATAAAAATCCACCCAAATTCTATTTGTTATCATTTTTCAGTAATATATCCATGGGATAAAGAAAACCTAAATGATCTGCTGCTTTGGTAAGAGTTATTTTATGAAACCTAGGGAAGACTCTTCCTGTATATGCATACTCACACCCACACCCATATCTCTTTTGCCCAGTAGAAAATAGAATGAAGATTATAAAAATAAAAGAAACTTGATTACACACAAAAAAATTACTGACAATTCATATTTTAAAAGTTGAGATAGTGTAAAATGAGTATTTAAAAATTTTTCTAAGGCACAGTTACTAAGCTTTATTGAAAGAAAAAGATTTAGGGGAGCCTCGGTGGCACAGCGGTTTAGCGCTGCCTGCAGCCTGGGGTGTGATCCTGGAGACCTGGGATTGAGTCCCACATCGGGCTTCCTGTAGGAGGCCTGCTTCTCCCTCTGCCTGTGTCTCTGCCTCTCTCTCTGTCTCTATGAATAAATAAACAAAATCTTAAAAAAAAAGAAAAAAAAAAAGAAAAAGATTTAAAAGATAAAACGGGGTGCCTGGGTGGCTTAGCTGATTAAGCATCTGGCTTTGATCTCAGCTCAAGTCTTGATCTGGGGGTCATGAGTTCAAGCCCCTGCATTGGGATCCATGCTGGCCATGGAGTCTACTTAAAACAAAACAAAACAACAACAACAACAACAAATACACAAGGAATAAATTTATAAAGAGAATTATATTTTAATATGGGAGGAAAAGGTTGGGAGAGTCATTTTTTAATCCTGGGATATAAAGAGGACTTATTAGAAGATAAGTTGTTAATATTTGCTTATCAGTAGCAAAGGAAAAATGCAAAAGAAAAGCAATGCAAAAGAAAATGCAAAAGAAAAGAAATGCAAAAGAAAAGTTTTCTGAAAAAAACTAAGGTAAGAAGGACATATGTCTAAAACTGACTAAGACCACCTTTAGATTTTGGCATACAGAAGGTACTCAGAAACACATGAATATGCAATCTGAAGAGAAACAAAACTAAATAGTGAATTCTATGCATGTGTTAGACATTGTTCATCCTTGTCCATACTGACTTATAAAACCAAACACTTTTATATGGCTAAAACTAAGAGCAGAGACTAAATACATTCTTATGGAAGAGATGACTGTCTTAACTCTTCTATGGACCTCGGATTTTTGTGACACCTATTGGCTGTGTTTGTGTGATTTATTTGCAAATTACCTCATGTGGTTCAATGATATGAAGAACGGGTGGGTTGGGCTTTGGCTCCCTAGGATGACGCACTCTTAGTCGTTCTGTAGCCATTGCAAGTTCATCAATAGCAGACACGCGATTCCTCAGAGCCATCCAATATTCATGAAGTAACTGGAAAACAGAAAACACAAAGACTGGTAAGCAGAATTAAAATTGGTTAAGACCACCAAAATGTGCCATGATTCAAAGTCTTCAGTGAGCTCTAAGATATACTTTTTTTCATTAAGTGTCTATGATACAAGCAATTTTGGGGCCACTTTTTAGGATGAGGACATATGACTGAATAACCTCTATAGGCCCCTATAGAATATTTTGCCTTTAGACTCTTAGGAACAGAATACCCAAAGATATTTTGGTGAGACCAAAGATCTTTACAGGTCAATACTAGCCTGGTGGAATCTCTGCTTTCTTAATATATATATATATATTTTAAAAGAGACCATGATCTCTTTATTTTTTTTTAATTTTTTATTTATTTATGATAGTCACACACACACACACACACAGAGAGAGAGAGAGAGAGAGAGAGAGAGGCAGAGGGAGAAGCAGGCTCCATTCACCGGGAGCCCGACGTGGGATTTGATCCTGGGTCTCCAGAATCGCGCCCTGGGCCAAAGGCAGGCGCTAAACTGCTGCGCCACCCAGGGATCCCCAGAAATATTTTTTATTATAAAATATTTCACATTTTCAAAATAATATGTACATATGGTAATGAGAATACTAAAATAAACAACTGAGCACTTAACATCCAATTTAAGAAAGAGAACACTATAAATGCCTTGGAAAATCTGTTCCTGATCAACTGCATCCCTCTTTCCTCGCACATTCTTCCTTCAACTCCTACAATGGACTAACCACTATTCTGAATTAGACATTCTGTACTTTTCATTGGAGTTATACTAATCTACACATTCTTAATAATTAGGTTATACAAGTTTCTGAAATTTATAGAAATGTTATCAGTTGGTATAAAATTTTTGATATGCTTTCTTCACTAACACTATACTTTGAGGTAGACCCTGACTAATATGTCTAATATTAGCTTATTAATTTGCATTGCTGTACAAGAGTTCAGTCTGCAACGTTATAGAGAAAAAATTCAAAGATCTGAGAACACTGTATAATAGGCAATCCTCTGAAACATAGTCTGTCATCAAAATAAGCCCAGAGGAAAAATGCAGGGACAACTGGACACTGTATATAGCACTGTCTTCTTCTCACTGCTTGTTGTAATTAATGTGCGTTTGCATTTAGAATAATAATGTGAGAAGAAAAATAATTATTATGAATCAATGACTTTAACTATAAAATTATTATTCCTCAGTTTATCAAACATATGAAATGATGTTACAGATAGCATATTTTCTCCTCCTGGATAGAAATTTTTATCTTGCTTTAAAAGTCAAGAACTTCAGATTTTAAAAAAGGATATAAATGGAATTATAGTATTATAAATGAAAGTTTTTTCATTTCCTCACCCATCTCACCTGCAAAACAGGATGATGGATAACAACTCCAAATATAAAGAATAATTTAAAATTAATGAATTTTGGAATCTCATTCAAGTACAAAGCTGTGGTATATAAAATTATCAAAATATAAAGGATCACTTTCTACTTTATTAACTGCAATGGTTTCCAGTCTTGTAAGCTGAGAAATATTTATTATGTTCTCCAATCTTCAAGATTATTGATGTTTAAAAAAAAAAAAAGGATTATTGATGTTTGAGGACGCCTAGATGGCTCAGTGGTTGAACGTCTGTTTCAGCTCAGGGCGTGATCCCAGAATCTGGGATGAGTCCCACATCGGGCTCCCTGTAGGGAGCCTGCTTCTCCCTCTGCCTATGTCTTTCCCTCTCTCCCTCTCTCTGTCTCTCTCATGAATAAATAAATAAATAAATCTTAAAAAAATAATTGACGTTTGGTTGTTATTCACAGAGCAAAAGCAAAACAAAACACAATGAAAACAAAACTCCAATTTCACAGACCTGCAGTGTAAGATCAAGCTAAGAATAGAATGAAACACTTTTACAGCTAAATAAAAGGCTTTGTATCTATTTCATTTTAATAATGACTATCTTTTAGTAATTTAATATATGGGAAGTTCCTTATTTATTCAGTATTATTGTATTTATTTTTTTCATTACAATCATTACATTTTAGGGAAACAAATTAGGATACTTCAAGTCTGTAAAACAGATTTTTAAAAACTCTTTGAAAAAAGCAAAGTCAAGTAGTAATTAAAATTAATATAAGGAAGAAAAAATTTCAATATTGGAAAAAATACAGAAATACTGTACCTTATATTCCTTTTTCCATGCTTCAAAAAGGTCCATTGAAGTACTTCCTTCATCAATGAATTCAACATCAAATCTATGTGATTTTGCAAATGAGAGCAATGCTTTCAGAGACCGCTCTGTTTCACTTATTGCCCACAGACCCCGGCTTGTGGTGGGTATTCGATCATCCACCAATCCTTCTTCATCCTCTATCATCTCCTCAAATATTGCAGTCTGGCCTTTGACTCTGAAAACATAGGAGAACAAAACAATAGTAATTACTGTCAGTGGTTTAACAAGCATTATAAAAATCCTACTGGCAGAGGCAAGAGAGAAGCAAGGTCAATAACTTTTCATCAACAACTTTCAGTTGTTCAGTTTCAGTTGTTTTCATGTCTACAAGATCATGCTTACAAGTCTTTAGAAAACTACAGCAATCCTAAAAATGCTGAAGGCATCATAAATTTGTCCAGTATCTTGACAGCAATGTGACATGATAAAAAATGGCTATAAATTTTCATGCTAAAATCTAGCTCTGAGAATTATCATAATACAAAACACAAACTACCATCACTACCACCAACCATGCAAAAGCAAAACAAAACCAGACCAAACCATAAGATGATCACAAAGTACACTGTCAATCTTTTTCAAGGCAATCAGAACTTAGCCTTTTCTTAATTTGTTTGTAAAACAGGAATAATTTTGCTAATTATCATAGCTATTAAGCACTTACGAGGTACCTTAATTCTTGACACGGAATGAGATCTTCAAATTTGTGTAGACAAAGTATATTAAATAATGACAGCTAACCTTTTACAGAACTCTTACTATGTATCACATACTATGCGCTAAGCACTTATGTGCACTTCAAAATTTAATATTCATAAAAAACTCAATGAGGTAAGCATTTCTATTTTCATTTCATGAATAAGGATACTGAGACTTACAGAGGCAATCTGCCCACAATATGGGCAGGGATTGGAGTTGAAAAGTGTTGGACTCAAAAGTCTGTCACTTCCCTAAACTGTTTCTTCATCACACATTACTAGATGACATGAACATTTGGAAGTAACTTCGTATAAGTGAAACCGAACATGTTAAATGATGACATGCCAAAATTCACTGAATTGATGTAATTAAAGAAAAAACGCAGGAAAGTTACTGTGAGGAAAATACATAGTCTTATAAATCAAAACACCAAGTCTTGTAAACATTTCATTCTCCTGATGGTAATCAATCAGAGAACTCACGTGTGGGAAAACAGCTTTGATTCATATTCTGTGAACAATTCATCAGCCTTACAAAAGACACAGCTGTAAAAGAAAGAAATGATCAGAGAAATATTTACAGAGATAACTAGCAATCAGGCAATTTCTAAAAGTGGCTTAGTATTTTATATTTCATTTTATTCTTTACAATCCGTATACCATTTAAGAAAAAAATAGTTTTCAGTATGTGGTATTTTAAAAGTTAGATTAACACTATGTTTCTTTCCACTTCGTCTGAATTTAAATGAAAAAAACCTTTATTAGATGAGCTACTGTTTATTCTCTCAGAAGAAACCTAGCTTAATGGGGTGATGCCATTTCATTGCATGACTTCTCCTATTACCTACCAGTTGAGAGGAAGTCTGGTTGGTCGGAGGTGGCAGATTGTCGCCGATTCAATAACATTACGAGATGGAGGTCCCTCCAGGTTTTTTACAGCCTCTCTTACTAGCTTCTGGAATTTATTTAGCTCTTCCATTTGTGTTGTAAGTAAGAACTGAAGACCTCTGCAGTCGTGGAACCTAGTTTCCATCACCAGCATCACACACAACACAAAGAAGAATATGTCAATTCCCTCAAATTCAGAAAATGGTTGCCAAATAAAATATTAAAGAAACTGCAACATTTTATTTAGCCTACCTTGACTGAATTTACCTTAGTGGTATGTTCAATCTATTAGTAGATAAGGTATAATAACATCGGGTTATTTACTATAAAATATATCAAAATTTTGATAGTCTCTGTCCTCAGGAACTGAAAAAGAGTCTGTGAAACCTGTCTCTGTCTCACATGTCTTTGAAAGACCAAGACTGAGACATTATTTCTTTTTTAATAACAACTGACCACTAATGTCCCTCCTGAAATCCTTGCTTTATATGGAGAGGTGACTGCAGGATGAAAAATAAAGAGAAAAATTGAGAAAAAAGAAGAAAAACAGCCAAGAATTATATTGCTTGCTACAAAGAGTTTATAAATACATATATACATATACACGATGTGTGTGTATATGTATATCATCACATATATTTTACTATATACATATTATTTACATGTATATACATTTTGTTAAACATTTATTATATGATGTCAAGCATTTTGCCAAGCTCTTTACCTGTATAATCTCAACAGATACTATTGTGCTCATGTTATGAAGCTTAATGAATTAAAATAATTTAATTAAAATTACAAAGTGATCATGTAGCAGAATTAGGAGTTAAACCCAAACACAATGCCCTTAACTTTTTTTTTTTTTAAAGATTTTATTTATTTATTCATGAGAGATACAGAGAGTGAGAGAGGCAGAGACACAGGCAGAGGGAGAAGCAGGCTCCATGCAGGGAGCCCAATGTGGGACTCAATCCCGTGTCTCCAGGATCACGCCCTGGGCTGAAGGTGGCGCTAAACCACTGAGCCATCCAGGCTGCCCTCTTAACTCTTAAAACTGAGTGAAATGGGGTATCCCTGGGTGGCTCAATAATTTCTGAAAGAATTTGCACAGGGATACAAGAACACAACTAGGTTAGGTATATTATATATTATTCACATCAGTATTATTTACTATTATTCATAAATTATGCAACAGGGGCTAAAAAATGATCATACATCAGCATTTAACTATTTCAGCAATATTCTTTCTTGCAGGTCCTTTAAGTGAAAAAGAAGAATATGTTATAATCAACATATTATTGGTAGGTACTATCCTAAATACACAAGCACTTTGCAGACATTAATTTGCTAATCTTCACAACAATGCTGTGTGGTTTTATAGATGACGAAACTAACAGCTTATCTAACCTTCCCAAGGTCAGAAAGCTAGTAAGTGGTGGAACTGGCTGGATTATGAACATAGGCAGTCTGACTCGAGAATCTACCTGTGCTCTTAATCTAAGAAAAACTAAGGTTTTGCTTTTCTAAGAATTGGTTAAGAAGCAAACATGAAAATTTGGCTTCACAGATATGGATCTCACTGAAAAACACAGCCCCAGTATTAAAATGATCTTTGAACGTAGATGCAATACAAAAAATATTAACTCACCTAGATGATAAACTATACATTAAAAATTTTACTTTAAAAGTGTTTATTACTTTCTATTTATGTCTAATGTTTCTGAAGAAAAAATGTGTAATAAATGGCATGTTTTACATTACCTACTGGTCATTTTATAGCACTGGGACCTCGACTTTTACAAGGGGCTACATTCTCATAAATAACAATTTGCAACTTTTAAGTAGTTTCTATGTGATTTAAGAAAAACAACTTCAAAATAATTTTACGATTTTATCAACTGATTCCACAATGCTGGCAAAACATATCAGCTTTAAAACTTGATAAAATGAATCATGACTTAAATGACAATTTATCCTGGAACGGTGACTCCTGGGTTTACCAGGGAAAAAGGAAGTGCACTCAAGAGTATAATGTACTGCATATACCTCAGAAATGAAGCCTGTCCAGTTCTGTATGGTGAAAAAGATGATGACTGTAAATCTAAATTAGTAATGACACATGGAAAATGTAGCATATATCTTTAGGGTTTTAGCAGGCATTTTAAAAGAAAGGCTTTTAAAAGTAAAAGAAAACACTTTAAAACATCTGAAAGATATTCTTATGCTGAATTTTTCACTGAAAAACTAACATTAATCCCAAGGCTGACCTTATACTAGGATGTGATCTAAGAAGCAATAAAAGATCCTCTCTCTGTCCCCTACCTACAATCAATAGACCTGCCACAATACTTCAAGTTCCCACATTAGAGTGATATTCCTTTGAGTTAAACCACTGTGGATACTACTGATAAAGAATAAGTTGGTCTTTGGGAAAAATTACTCACCAGTTATACAAAAAGCAACAACCCAACTTACCTACAAAGAACCCTGAAGAATGATGAGTGTTGATGAGAAGAAAGATGGGGCAGAGAGCAGGTAATTTTACAACATAAAACCTGAACTACTGTAATGCTATGATGCTTAGCTCTTTGTGGGTGAATTACAAAGTGGAAGCATGAATGCCTAACCTCAAGGACAAATTTCTCCAAAACAAAGTCTATATCAAGACTTTGCTTATAGTTGGCTTTGGGGCATCTAGCAGAGGTACAATGAATATACTTTAAGTAGATTTAAAAAGCAGTAGAAATGGACTATTTAAAAATGACTAACATACAGAAGACAGGTTTCCTCTTTCAGGCTTATATCTAATATTTGTTTGAAATGTACTCTTAACAATAGGTAAAATCCAGATATTCATAATCACAGTATGTTTGATAGTTAATTCCACCTCTTAACATTAAATGATCTGAATATTTGGGGTCATTACTCATAAAGTTATTCTATTTTGTACTGTTTTCTTACTTCTCTGACATAGAAAGCTTGCCAATTTGTTGCTTGTAGTTGCTTGTTATTTCATTTCGCACTCGCTGAGCAAGTTCCTCATCAATAGCAAATTCTATTGCTCTGTGGATCACATTCAGCCACCAAGGAGAATTAGAATAAATCTGTAAAGAGGACAACAACAGCTCACTGTTTCTATCACTGGGAAAGGTGCTGTGAAAAATTCAAAGGAAGTAATAAATGCTAGTCTCAAAGAAATTGAGACAGTGGTGGAGACAAGCATACACACTCTATATACAAACTTTTGCATACATAATTAACGAGAACACCTGTTTCCTGAATTACTGTGGATGAATGAGAATTTATTGTATACATCTGAGTAACACAGTTGTGCTAAAAAAAATACACTACCAAATGAAAACTCAGTATTCACTGTATATATTTGAAAAGGTGACAGGTCTCCTTCTCAGTATTATAAAGATATTCTGCTAATCTTCAACTAATTGAACTAGATGGTAACTCAATAATACTCTATGATTACTGGCAAAATTATATGCCTGAATACTAAATAATTAATGAATTAGGAAGAATACAGTATGGAGTGACTGGTTAAAATAAAAAAAGACTGTGTGTTTTGGATAGCCCCTTTAGGCTTATTACTGATTTCATAAAAGAGAAATTTTAGAAATGACAAATGGCACGTGTTCCATAAGAAAAATACTCCTAAAGTTCTGACATCTTTAAAGAAAAGATTTTAGAAACATACATATCTAAGGTCAAAAGGAGGTTATGGAAGTCTTTACTTTCCTCAAAAGACAAGTTATTGTCTACAAGATAAGAGAAAACCCATCATAGCATAAAAAAAAAAAAAAAGAGCACAACTTCCAAGTACATGATTTATCTACACACCTGTTTATTAATCAACAAATACTCTGAATAGCAAATACATTTTTTATTACAGGACAGGCACTATACAAGGTGCTAAGAATTCCAAGATGAATAAGAAAGTTCAAGTTTTTCTCCAAACCAAGATAAAAACCAGAGTGCTATACGGAGACAAACACAGGTAAGAGAAGTTATTTTGGGGATGTACCTTTCTCTGGAGCTCCTTTATGGTCTGCTGCACGGGCTGTAAAGCTTGCTGAGCTTCAGCGACTTCTGTATTACACTTGCTCATATAATGCTCTCGCAGTTGTTTAGCCTGTGTTGAAACAGGAAATGAATATAAACTTTCATTTCAGGTCTAAAAAAGAATTTAGTATAATATTGTGAGAACAATGTGGTTATTTATGTATGTAAAACTATATAACATAGTTTAAACATAGACCTCTACAAGTATACTGTTAAGAACATAAACCCATGCTAGAAATTAAAACAGATATTAAAGAGACTACATTTACTTATAAATCACAATTTTAAGAAATCCCAAGAGTCTGCTTCCTATATTTCTAATTTCTTAATTTAAAAAAAAAGGGGAATGGTAAGAACAACAGTATTTCAAATCATGAGGCAAAGCAATCTTTTAGAATTTCTGATTTTAGAAACAATACTTGAGGGACACCTGGGTGACTGGCTGAGCATCTGCCTTTGGCTCAGGCTGTGATCCCTGGGTCCCAGGATCAAGTCCTGCTTCAGGCTCCCATCAGCCTGCTTCTCCCTCTGTCTATGTCTCTACCTCTCTCTCTGTGTCTCTCATGAATAAATAAATAAAATCTTAAAAAAAAAAAAAAGAAAGAAACAATACTTGAGGGTATACAGTAACACATGTGTTAGGGGACATGAGATAGTGGGAAGAAAACCAAAAAGACTCCTGAACAGGAAATCCTAATGCTTCTTCCAATTAGAGGTACGTTGACCCACATGTACTGCCAACACTAGACCCTTCAATTTACAAAAATGTCAATTTCATGAGGTTCAAGTCAATAGATATATCTCTTTGGACCAGTCATTTCACTTCTCTGGGCTTCTGTTACTTCATTTGCAAATGTTGGTGGTTGAAGTAGATTTCTTGGAACTGTGGCTTCATAATCTATGAGCATTAGGCAAAAGTGATAATGTGGTCTACTTAGAAATATACCTACCCAGTGTGACACATTTTTCCCTTTCCTTTTTCCATGATGCATTTCTCCTTTTCCTGTCACAACCTTCCAATTAATTTCTGTTAAAATTCCTTGGCTATAATTATTTGGTCATTAGAGCTATTTACTAATAGACTAGACAGTATGCCAGTGTTTCTTGTCACTGAAGGCATTTAAAAAAGTGATTGTATGTAAGATCAGATGCCTGCAATGGGAATGAGATTTCACTCAAAAATCTCCAACACCTCAAGTCATGATCCCAGAGTCCTGGGACAGAGCTGAGCATTAGGCTCCCTGCTCAGCGGGGAGTCTGCTTCTCCCTTTCCTTCTGCCCCTCCCCGTGCTCACAAACAAAAAACTCCAACATTCAGACTGTCATCTAACATCAAGAAAGGCCTGTACCTACTTATACAATCTCCCTTTGTATCTTAATTCAAATAAAAAGGGTCCCACTTACAGGTTCAATAATCAAACATAATATATACTACTCTTTTGATTTTATTAGCTTTGCCATCTATTCTTTGACTTTAAAAAAAAGCAAAAATCCATGAGGGAATTAGCATAATAGACTCATTAACAATTTATAGTGAAATGATTTATGTCATTCCTTCCAATGAGGCAAGACTCACTGCAGAAGGAACTTCTTCGAGAGGACACAAAAAATATCACCAAAATACTGAGTTTATTTATTGCCTTTAGTAATACATAGAAAAGTGGAGGAAACACAAAGATTTTCATTTTTACTAATAAGCCATATCTTTTGCAGATCTGCCATAAGATCAACAAGGTCTCCTTCCTTTCTATTTCTTTCCGTGTGCTGCTGGCTACCAACAACCATATCTATATACAAGTAGTTCACAAAAGAAGTAAAATAATATGGAGTACTGCAATTCTCTACCATCCAAAATCACAAAGCAAAATCTGGAATATAAAAGCAGGAGGGAAACATATGATTAACTTTTATTTAGATGTTGTATGCCCTAGGAAATATTAATGGATGGAGGATAAAGTCTGAAAAAAAATTCCTTTACAGACAGAATAAAAAAATAATTACCTCTTCCTCAAGTCTGCCATCTCGTAAGGTAGGAGGTATTCCTGGGTGCTTGGCTACCAACAATTCCATCAAGTTATGGGTAGCATGTAGTCTCTACAAACACAAAAGGCAATAATTTTGAGAGCCAAACAGGCTGATTGCTTAATCTTCACTCTTGGATTCAGGCATACTGGACTTATCTGTCTTCTTGCCCATCTTTCTACTTGTGCTTCTTTTTTTTTTCAGGAGCATGTCACCTTTGTATTTCCGCCGCCTTCCATGAGGCAAACACATTTGCTTACAACCCAAGGTCTGACTTCTGTAATCCTTATCCATACAGAATGTAAGTAGGCTTGCATTTAGTTTTCACCCTTTCCCCCATACACTCCTCCTAATACTCGCTGAGGAACATGTGAACATGTAGGTCCCAAGGTCTAGATTCTGAATGACAAAGAAGTCCCATTAGAAACTCAAGCCTAAATTTACTAAGATTAATAAAAGTGATCCTTATTTACCATTTATCTAGAGAGCCTTGTGTATATGATCCACTGGACATATATTCTTCCCAATCCATTCCACAACCTTGTTTAAGAAACAACAGAAGTCCGGGATCCCTGGGTGGCGCAGCGGTTTAGCGCCTGCCTTTGGCCCAGGGCGCGATCCTGGAGACCCAGGATCGAATCCCACGTCGGGCTCCCAGTGCATGGAGCCTGCTTCCCCCTCTGCCTGTGTCTCTGCCTCTCTCTCTCTCTCTGTGACTATCATAAATAAATAAAAAAATTAAAAAAAAAAAAAAAAAAAGAAACAACAGAAGTCCTAGTCCAGGAGAAGAGGAGTAGAGTTTCTGCCACTTTATTTCCATAGTGTCATCTATAGGTTTGTTGTTGCTACTAAATCTGATAGTGTTGCTGAGGCTATTATAATCTATGAAGCCATGCTGAAAAGACCTAAGACGTTTGTGGTGACTCTTCAAATATGAACTCTACAAAGATCTGTACCATGGTCCATAATATGTAGCCAGACAGAGTAAACCTTTAGAGTCTCAAATCAGTCGCCCAAATCACATCTTATCAAGACTCTTTCCTGATTATCCTTTAGCCGGTAGCTATTTTCCAAGTAAAGAGTCAATTAAAGGAAATTACTTATTCTCACAGCCCTTGACTTCAGAGGGAGCCTCTAACCAGCTGCAAACTCAATATCATACTGAGAAGCCTGGCTTGTACTGAATACAGAGATAAAAGATATAGTTTTCTCCTTTTTCTTACACCATCTTTAACTTCTCCCCTTTTCAGCCCTTAAGTTCAACAAATCCAGGTCACAGCCTTGTTTTCATATGTTTTTCATTATTCTTATTTTTATCGTAATTGCTAGGCTCATGCATACTCATTTCCCAGAAGACGAATCAATCAAGTCTGTGCAGTCAATCTTTCTACTTTATTGGACTCACTTGGCATAATCATAGTACCCTATATAGACAAAGGCACGTATAATAGAAGAAATATACCTATATTACATATTCTGCTAAATACAGAGATAGATATATTTCATAAGACTATTTTCTTAAGACTGTAAATTGAAGACAGTTTATGCCATTATGAAATAAGACCTTTACTATGAAACTGATTTTGGTTTTCTCTGAGAAGGGTGGTGCTCAAATTGTGTTAAGGAAAAGTTTTCAATGATCTGATCTTAACATGATATTAGTGTTCTGTATGTCGTATTAATAGTAGATTCTCCCTTAAAAGATAAATGTTATAATTCAAATATCCAGATCTTCCTGAGATACCTCCAAAAATTAAATCAGATCACGAAAAATTATTTTGCATAAAATAAACAGACTAGTTGAAATTGTTTAGTGTTTACTTACTTGGAGTGAATCTGTTTTGAGTTTTCCTTTGTGTTCCTCAGATGAACGCAACACTTCTCTGTACAGTTCTGCTGCCAAGGCATACTCACCTGAGGAATTAAAATGTATTGAAAACATAAGAAAGTCATATATTTACCTCCCAATATGATCTAGTTATATATTATCTAAAAATATCTACTGTAAATAGAACAATGATTATACCTCACAGCTTTTCAGAGGTATCTGACTTGGTATTAATATGACTGTGCCAATAAAAAAGCTGATGATAAAAGAAAAAAAAGCTGATGATAGCTCTGTTTATTAATTTCATAGCACAGAACACCAATCAGATAAACTTGTGTTTTAAAATTATACTGAAAGGAATGCCTGGGTGGCTCAGTGGTTGAGCATCTGCCTTTGGCTCAGGTTTGATATTAGGATCCTGGGATTGAGTCCTGTATCAGGCTCTCCATGAGAGCCTGCTTCTCCCTCTGCCTATCTCTTTGTGTTTCTCATGAATAAATAAAATCTTAAATAAAATTACACTGAAAAAGTCTGTATAAACTTTTAATTTAGACAAATGATTTTCCTCTTACTGAGGTTAAAAGGCGCCAATTAGTAGTCATTTTGATGTTTGAAATTAAGAACAAATTTAAAAATAAATATTCAAAACACTATGATCAATCTGCACTTAATTCTCAAAGAAATAATCTATTCCTTTTAATAGGTATTGTGTTTGGTAGCCAGCATGATTTTCAATTAAAAACTACTTTCCAAAAATGTCAGGATTCTTCTTTCCATTTCTGGTCACAAAAATCACAATTAGTCTGAGATTAATGTTTTATTATTATTATTATTATTATTATTATTACTCATAACTAGCAGCTCATTCAAATAAAGTAACTTAAAAAGTATCAACTAAAGTACAGGTTGGCAAACTATTGCCCATGGGTCACATCTGACAATATCTCTGCAATTTTGAGCTAAGAATGGTTTTTCGCCTTTTTAAACACTTGAAAAAACTCAAAAGAATGCTATTTTGTGACATGAAAAATTATATGGAATTAAATTTCTGGGTCCATGAATAAGGTTTTATTGGAACTCGGTCACACTCATTTGTTTATGTACTGTCTGTGACGACTTCTGCATTATAACAGCAGAGGTGAGTAGTTGCAACAGATCCTCTGGATCAAAGCCTAAAATATTTATTATCTGGTTCTTTCAGTAAAAGTTTTCTGATACTTCAATAAAAGGAGACATGAAACATTTTAAATGGCTTGAACAACAGAAATGTATCATATTTGCTGTATGGTGAAAAACTCAAAACTAACAGTAGTAAAATCATAAAATACAAAAAAAAGAGATGTTCCTATTTTTGCTGAGAAACCTTTTTTCATGATCATCACATATTTCCTTTTATTCACTTCAAACTGGTTTTATTAATATCATGGATTTAGGACTTTGTTATAGACATAATGAAAGAAATATGTATATACCTTTGTAAATTGTGTTGATTCTCTCTTTCCATTAAAGCTGATATATATATATATGTGTGTGTGTATATATATATATATATATAATTGTGGTAAAATATACCTAACATAAAATTTGCCACATCAATCACTTTTAAATATGTGGCATTAAGTTCATTCACATTTTTGTGCATAAGACTTGCTTGCTTTTATGCCATTGCTTTATATTTAGTTCTACAAGTCATGTAATACAAAGTTTTCTAAAGCACACATTTCGCAGTATTTTACAGTCAATTTCTATTCACTTTGATAAAGATGAACATTATTTTTGCAAAAATAATATCATATTATAAGGTGGGAGTAACACTCAATTATCTTCACACTAAGAAACTCCCCTTTTTCAGTTCTGAAGACTCTTATGAAGTTTTTCAAAAGACTAAAAAACATTGTATTAGTATTTATACTGTCATTTAGAGAGAATAATTCATTTAACAATTTTCCTTTCATAATCACAACTTTTTAAAGATGGTATAATGACTAGACTATAAAGCAGTTGAATCTGAATTTTCACTATAATTCTTTTTAAAATTTTTATTAAAAAAATACATGCCTCCTGGGAAACACATAAAAATTTAGTAAGTGATACAAGTTTAAGCCAAATTTAGAAATACTCATTCTTTGCTACTTGATGGCACTAACATTTCCAAGTAAATTAATGGCACTGAATTTGATACTTGCTAAAAGCTAATTTTCTCCAAAAAGTATGTGCAGGAAACACATTGTACAAAGTTGGAGTAATACTGTTTTTAAAACCATAATCAGGGAGGACCTTAGAATATGCATTATATATACATATGTGTTTGTATATAATATAAACAAATCCCTTGAATTTGCAGTTACTTTTAGATTTCTTTTAGAAGTCAGCTCTTGGGGCACCTGGGTGGCTCAGTGGTTGAGTGCAGTTAACTCAGAGCCAAGTCCCTCACTTCAGGCTCAGAGCACCCTCCTCAGGGGCTGGACATATCAGCCTGGAGAGGACACAGAGAGAGGGGGAGAAAAAAATATACAGAAAGAGGGAGGCAGAGACATAGGCAGAGGGAGAAGCAGGCTCCCTATGGGAGCCTGATGTAGGACTCAATCTCAGGACCCCCAGGTCATGGTCTGAGCCAATGTATATTCACACTTCACATTAAGAGTAATACTTCAACCGAGACTAAGCAAGTGGTACTATCTGTATTTTATTGCTAAGGAAAAAGATTAACAAACTTTGAACAATATACACAAGTTCAGAGAGCGACAACTATAGCAAAGAAGAAGCCCTGTCTTTTTCAGTTCTTGTCTAGAGCTACTCCTACTCAGCTTCTGTGAGTCTTCTGAACTCTAAGCAAGTGTTCAGGATGAGGGACATTGCCTAGTTCTGGTTCTGTTATGCTGAAAAGCTAATAACCAGATAGACCACCCAGTTTCAAAAGGCTTAGAATATTTCCTTGTATCAGACAATACTACGTTTTCTTGGGCAACTAATTTCTTTATGGTCTTATTAGTAAATTATGAGAAAAATGGTAAATTCTCTCCATGACTATGTACCCAAGTAGACTAATCTATTAGTAATTTTTGTAGTAAGGTCAAAAGAACTGGCATTTATCACAAAATGCCTTTCTAGTTCTAACAATATAAATGAAGAGCTAAATATACTAATTTGGTGAAGAATGTAGAAATAAAACAGCATTTGTATATACTAAATTATAAAGTGCTTAAAACTGTATATTACTTCACATTATGAAATACTTCTATGGTTTCAAGAACTTGATTCCAAGAACTTTATTCTTGAAATCATAGAACTGGTAACTTTTATTTCTTCTAATATAGTTTCAAGAACTATATTCTACTCAGTTTTGAAGAGATTAAAATCAAATTATCTAAATCAAAGCTATTAAGAAGATTTTAAAGGTAGATTTTATAAAAAGGCACACTTGCATCAGTATTTTCCTCATTACTTACAAGAAAGCTCCTAAAAGTCATTATGGTATAAAAGCTATAAAAATATGCAAACTTATTCTATTACAAATGCAGTAATAGATAAGTAACAATAGACTCTGTTGAATATAGAGTATTTGATGATTCATTAAAGTTGCAAAAGAATTAAGTTTAGTGGGCGGCCTGGGTGGCTCAGCGGTTTAGCACCGCTTTTAGCCCAGGGCCTGATCCTGGAGACCCGCGATCAAGTCCCACATCAGGCTCCCTGCATGGAGCCTGCTTCTCCCTCTGCCTGTGTCTCTGCCTCTCTCTCTCTCTGTATGTCTCTCATTAATAAATAAATAAAATCTTAAAAAAAAAAAAGAAGTTTAGATAGCCAGAAAGGTTATCATAAAAGTTTAGAATAAATTTCTATTTATGAATTATTCTAAACACAAAGATAGAGGCACTGAGCTCAGTGCAAGCTTATTACTAAGGTAAGTTGAGGTCATGGAAATGAAGCTAATGAGTAAATGAAGTAATAGAAAGATGGCTGTACAATTTTATACTCTCAATATCACTGTATGAATGAGAATTCCAGTTGTTTCTACATCCTTGCCAACATTTAACACATTTAATAAGCCTTTTCAATAGTCACATAGTTATGTTCTTGTGGTTTGAAAGTGCATATATCTAATGAACTTTCTGTCCAAACATTTTGCCTATTTTCCTTACATTGTTTTCCTATTACTGGTTTTTATTTTTATTTCTATTTATTTTTTTTATTTTTTTCTATTACTGGTTTTTAATAGTTCTTTTTGTATTCTGAATACAAATCCTTTCTCAGAGATGTGATTTGCAAATATTTTCTCTATTTAATGGCTTATCTTTTTTTTCTAGATTATTTATTTATTTAAGGGTGTGTGAGAGAGAGGAGCAGGCAAGGGGCTGAGAAAGAGGGAAAAGCAGACTCCCCACAGAGCAGGGAGCTAGACATGGGTCTCAATCCCAGGACTCTGGGATTATGACCTGGACTCGAAGGCACTCAAACAACTGGGCCACCCAGGCGCCTCACCTTTTTATTTTCTTAGGAATGCCTTTTGAGAAGTAGAAGTTATTCATTTTGATGAAGTCAAATGTATCAGGTTTTTTATGGACTGTGCTTTTGGTGTTGTCTATATATATCTTTACCTGATACCAAATTACAATTTTTTTTTATCCTTTTGTGTTTCTCTAGAAGTCTTAGAGTTTTAGGTTTTAATTTCGATTTAATATCCTCTGTATTATGAATTTTTATATAGTGCAACATTGAAGTTTTATTTTTTGAATGTGGATATCTAATTGTCCAGTACCATTTACTGAAAATACTAATTTTTTCTCTACTGAAATACTCTTGCATCTTTGCTGAAAAGTGAAATGATCATAAATAAGTAAGACTTTTTCTGGATTTATACTCTGGTCCATTGGTCTCTTTGCCTATCTTTATGTCTATGTCATACTGTCTTGATTAATTTAACTTTATAATAAATCTGGATTCAGATAGTGTAAATCTTCCGATCTTTTTGTTTTTTAAAGTTGTTTTCGCTATCCTAGGTGAATTTCAGAATCAGCTTGTCAACTGCTATAAAATAGCCTGTTGGGTTTTTTTTTTTAAGATTTTATTTATTTATTCATGAGAGACACAGAGAGAAGGCAGAGACATAAGCAGAGGGAGAAACAGACTCCTCACAGGAGCCGATGAAGGGCTTGATCCTGGAACACCAGGATCACGCCCTGAGCCAAAGGCAGACACTCAACCACTGAGTCTCCAAGGAGTCCCACCTGTTTAAATTTTAACTGGAAAAATTTGATTGCATGAACTATACATCAATTTAGGATGAGTCAGCATGTTAACAAAAATGAATTTTCTGATCCATGAACATGGTAACTAGGTGTTAATTTCTCTCAGCAATGTTTGTAATTTTCAATGTTTCTGTGACTTTTGTAAACATCTTACACATTTCTTTTTAAGTTGATGCTTATGTATTTCATGGCTTTTTGATATTACTATGAACAGGACTGTAATAATTTCTAATTGTTTATTTCCATCATATAGGAATAAAGCAATTTTCTATATACTCATCTTGTATAATGCAACTTTTCAGAACTTACTTACTAGTGTTAGTTTTCCTACATGGAAAATCATATTGCAGCAAATAAAGACAGTTTTACTTTTTTTCCTATTCAAACTGGTAACTTTTATTTCTTTTAATTAAGTTACAGCACTGGAGAGAATTCAGGTACAATGTTGAAGAGAAGTGGTGATGGTATATTCTTCACTGTTCATGATCATAAAAAACACTGTTTTTAACCATTAAGTATAGCATTAGGTGTTAAGTTTTTTTCAGATATCTTTTATCAAAATGAGAACATTGTCTTTGATCCCTGGATTGCTGGAAGTTTTTATCAGTAATGGATATTTAGGTGTAGGTTTTTTCAGATGTCTTTTATCAAAACGAGAACATTGTCTTTGATACCTGGATTGCTGAAAGTTTTTATCAGTAATGGATATTGAATATTGTCAAATACTTTTTCTACATTTATGGAGATGTTCACAAGGTTTTTCCTTCTTAATTGTTAATTTGGTGAATCATATTAATTTTTGAATATTAAACCAATCTTGTATTCCCAGAATAAATTCCACTTGTGATAAAAGTATTATTATTTTTATATACTGTTGGATTCATTTTGTTAAAACATTTAAAAAAATTTTGCATCTATGTTCTCGAGTGATACTGGTCTGTGGTTTCATAATCAGGATAATGCTACCTTAAAATAAGATGGGAATATTCTTTCCTTTTTAATTTTCTGTAAGAGTTTATATAGATTTGATATTTCTTCCTCAAATGTTTGGTTGAATGCACCATGGAAGTCATCTGGGCCTAGTATTTTGTTTGTGCAAGTTTTTTAACAATTTAATTTCTTGAATAGATACAGGGTTATGCAGGTTATCTATTTCTTCTTCAGTTTTTGTAGTTTGCCTTTCTGAGTGAGCTTCTATAGTTTGTATCTTCTAAAGCATTTGCCCATTTATCTAAGTTGTCAAGTTTCTGGCATACAGTTGTTCATAATATATATATATATTTTAAGATTTTATTTATTTGGGCAGCCCAGGTGGCTCAGCGGTTTAGCGCCACCTTCAGCCCAAGGAGTGATCCTGGAGACCTGGGATCAAGTCCCACATCGGGCCCCCTGCATGGAGCCTGCTTCTCTTCTGCCTGTCTCTGCCTCTCTCTTTCTCTCTCTCTCTGTGTGTCTCTCTCATGAATAAACAAATAAAATCTTAAAAAAAAAGATTTTATTTATTCATTCATGACAGACACAGAGACACAGGCAGAGGGAGAAGCAGGCTCCATGCAGGGAGCCCTGGAACTCTAGGAACATGCCCTAGGCCAATGGGAGGTGCGCAACCACCGAGACACCCAGGCGTCCCTGTTCATAATATTCTTTTATGATTTTTTAAATATCTGTAGACTCTACTGATGTCACTTTTCTTATTCCCAATTCCTGATAATAGTGATCTGTGTCTTTTCTTCTTTCTTCTTAAACAGTTTGACTAGAGGTTTATAACTTTCTATCGATCTCGTCAAAGAATCAGCTTTTGATTTCATTGTTTCTAATGGTTTTATTTTCCTTTTAATTGATTCCTGTACTGATCTTTATTATTTTCTTTTGCTGACTTGGTATTTCATTTTCTTTTCTTCTTTTAAAAAATTTTATTTATTTATTCATGAGAGACACACTCACACACACAGAGAAGCAGAGACACAGGCAGAGGCAGAAGTAGGCTCCATGCAGGGAGCCCGATGTGGGACTTGATCCCAGGTCTCCAGGATCAGGCCCTGGGCTGAAGGTGGCGCTAAACTGCTGAGCCACCCGGCTGCCCTGCTTTTCTTTTTTTAGTTTCTTAAGGTATTAGCTTATGTCAATGATTTATAACTTTTTTCTTTTTTTCTTTTTATTTATTTATGATAGTCACACACACAGAGAGAGAGGCAAAGACATAGGCAAAGGGAGAAGCAAGCTCCATGCACCGGGAGCCCGATGTGGGACTCGATCCCGGGTCTCCAGGATCGCGCCCTGGGCCAAAGGCAGGCGCTAAACCACTGCGCCACCCAGATCCCTATAACTTTTTTCTAAATTGGTGTTCAGTCCTATAAATCTCCCTTAAATTACTTATCAAGATTCTATAACTCTTGATGTTATGTATTCATTTTAATTCACTTCAAAATACTTGCCATTTTCCCTTACGATTTACTCTTTAATCCAAGGGTTACTTAGAATTATTCTAATTAGTTTCAAAATATTTGGGAACTTTCCAATTATCTTTGATTGACATTTAATTTAATTCCATTGTAGTCAGAGAATGTACTTTTTAAGACTTGCATCCTTTTAAATTTACTGAATTGTTTTACAGCCCAGAACATGCTCTGTTTTGGTAAACATTCCATGTATACTTGAAAAGAATGTGTATTCTGTGTTTTCTTCGGTGGGGTAAAGTGTCCTGTAATTGTTGACTATGTCAACTGGTTGGTTCTTAATGTTAAGTTTTCCATGCTGCTATTTTCTGTCTTCCGGTCTGTCAATAATTGGAAGATGGGTGTTGAAATCTCTGACTATAATTATCTATTTCTCATTGTACTTCTATCAATTTGTGTTTTATCTTAAAACTTTGGTTTTAGGTGCATAAACATTTAGGATTATTTTCTGATAGAATAACACTATATCCTTGGTAATATTCTTGCCTGGTGGTAATATATTCTCTCCAGCTTTCTTTTGGGTAGGGTTAATATGGCATATTTCATTTTTCGTTCTTTTTTTCATTTTTTCATTCTTTTACATTTCCATCTTTAAACAACAAAAGGGTTTCTGGTCTATAGTGTATTATTAGATATTGCTTTTTTAAAAACCATTTTGAAAATCTCTGCCTCATTGGGGAATTTAGACCACTGCATTTAATGTGACCACTGATATGTTTGGGTTTAAATCTATCTTGCTATTTGCTCTACATTTTTATCTGTTCTTTGTTTCACCTTTTTTTTTTTCTTAAGAATTTTTCATCATTACTTTTTGTCTCATCTTTTAGATTACGTCTAATTTTTTGTTGTGTTTTCAGTAGTTGCTTTGACTTGTCAGTCTGTTGTCATGATACCATGTTACTTCATACATAGTATAAACACTCTGCTATATCATATATCCCTAGGCTCTCTTCCCACACTTGGTGCTATTATTATTCTATACATGTTCATGTTTTGTTTTTTGTTTAAAGATTTTATTTATTTATTCACGAGAGACACGAGAGAGAGAGGCAGAGACAGAGGCAGAAGGAAAAGCAGGCTCCATGCAGGGAGCCCGATGTGGGACTCAATCCTGGGACTCCGGGGTCACACCCTGAGCTGAAGGCAGATGCTCAATCGCTGAGCCACCCAGGCATCCCAACATTTTCATGTTATAAACTTTATATTTCTTCTTATATTCTTCTTCTTCAGAGATTTCAATATATTTATATTATGCTACTTGAAGTTATCTACAATCTTACCGACATTCTTTTCAAATTTCTCAGTTTTTATTTTCTTTGTTTTTCATGTTGAATGGCATCTACGGCTATTTTATTCTTTAATTTTAATTATTTTTTTCTACAGTGTCTAATCCACTATTTAAGGATATTTTCCATATCAAACACTGAAATTTTCACCTCTAGAAGTCTAAAATTTATGTTTTACTGTCTCTACATGTTTTTAAGTTTTACTCTTGAGCCTACAAAATAGTCTGATGATTCTCATATTTATATGGAAATGTGTTTACTAAATGGTGGTCACTTTTAAAGCTAGTTAAATAACTTCTGCTTCTGGTCATGACAAAATAACAGAGAATGAATTTACTCTCCTTTCTGAAACAAGTGAAATAACATACATAATATATGAAACAATAGACTGTAAGACACCGGACATTAGTCAATAAAAATGGTAATCCCTGAGAGATGGGAAATGTAAGATTCTCTTTTCAAGGTCCTTGAATTTTATGCATAATGTGTTAAGTGTAACTATAACCATACACATTTTATTTGTCTATCTCTCCTTATTAAGAATTTAGGTCCACAAGATCAAAGACCTTATTTACTGTATTTAGTTCTGAGATCATAACTGATGCAGAGGAGACACTCTAATATGTGCTGAAAAAATGAATTTACAAACATTATTTTGTAAATTGATGACTAACATCCCCCTGAGTGTGTGAAAATGTAACTTTTCTTCTATTTCTAGATATTTTGCTTGTCCTCAGTTGTTCACTACTATAGACTAAGGTTAATAATTTATTGCCAAATTTTTGTTCAAATCCTACCTTTCCTAAAAAACAACAAACTTTTGAAGTGGAAATGTTTGGTGAAAGCATATGTAAACTTTGAAGGTTTTTCAAATGTTCTGCATAAGTGATCTCCATTAGGTTGAACCTACCTAAAGATCAGTAGTGTGTGAGAATGTCTTTCGGGGAAGGGGAGGGGTTTGATTTCCACTGCAACTAATCTGTCTCATTAAGTATTCAGAAGAATCAGAGATAATAAAGCAATCACCTTCTACCTTTAATGATGTGGATGCCGGCTAAGCCATTGAGAGCACAAACTAGTTGCCGATGTGCTTCTTCACATTCAGTTCCACATTTCTTCTGCAGAGATGTCAGCAGCTCTTCCATTGTCATGGTGCTAAAAGAAAAGACAGATTGTTCAGAAATGAAAAGGAAATCCTAAATGAGAGTATTATATTACATAAGATCAAGAGTATCAGACCCTTACAGAGTCTTTGTATATCTTCAGGATCTTTCTCTTTACCTCCATTTTTACCACTATCACTTTTAACTCAATTGCCTATTATTGTTTCAGCAAGCATTCTTCTATGTGATCCCATCATTCTTTGTTCCAGTTTAGTTAATGGAGAGGGAACTAGAAAAATCTTCCTAAAATACAAAGTACAACACGATATACTTGAAATAGTATGGGTGTCAGAAGGTAAGATTAACTCTGAATCCCCAGCATTATAATTTAATTAATCCCCGTGGGTCTGACTTTATTTTTATCTAAAAAGAAAAAAAAAATTCTTCAAGGATCAGATCAAATGATCCTTTCCACCCATTTCCACCCAAAGACTGTCTAACATGAAACATTTATATAGAAATTATTTCCATCTTCTAACTGTCCATAGCCATTTATATGCACCTTTTATGAAATGTTTGTTTGCCTTCTATCGTAGAAATCTAAAATCTTTCTCATCTCCTTTACTTGTTTATAAACTGCTTAAAGGCAAAGACAAAAATGTAAATCCTCTTCATATTTTTTAATAACACTCATCATTTTAATACCGGGTGCTAAGAAAAAAAAGGCCAGTTGCTGAGTCACAGTCTGATGAACAAAAACTTTCTGGAGTAATAGACTAGTGTGGAAATAAATATCTTAATGTATTAAAATGAAATAATCAAACAGACTCAGCACAATTACAAAAAAAAATACGTAATAGTATTCCATTTCCTCTAATTCCCTGATGTGGAACAAAAAAAATTAACAAGAACAAATGTTTTTCATATGTGAAGTGTGGCCAAAAACAACAAAAGAAAAGCCAACACAAAAACAGAACAAAATGACAAAACCCCAAAATAGTCCTAACTTTAAAAGAAATGTTCAGGGCAGCCCAGGAGGCTCAGCGGCTTAGCACGGCCTTCAGCCCAGGGCCTGATCCTGGAGACCCGGGATCGAGTCCCACGTCAGGCTCCCTGCATGGAGCCTGTTTCTCCCTCTGCCTGTGTCTCTGCTTCTCTCTCTCTCTGTGTCTCTCATGAATAAAAAAAAATAAAATCTTTAAAAAAAATGTTCAAAATCATGAAAATAATTTTGATAATGTGACTTTCATAAATGGGATTCTATACCAAAGAAACACATTACTAAAAATAACTGACAACTCATTATAACACTTTGAATGAAACCGTGGGCTAGGAAACTAATAGCTTAAATATCACTACTATATTATCGATTGCAGTATAAGGAAATTGATAATAAAACCTTTTCTGGAGTGGCAAGAACTCCCCACGAACAGCCTGTGGGTGACAGCAGGCCTGCCTGAGTCTCAGCAATGGATACAGGATAGAGGTGACAGTCCTTCTGTCCAGGCTGCTGAGCTTCAGCGCCCAGTCTGAAATCTTCCTGAGTTTTACTACAGCATCTTGGCAGCACACTTCATGCTGACGGTGATAGAAATGTCTTTCCACTGGAGAAAAGTGAAGCCAGTGGATTTCTTCTGTCTGAGGGGGTATCTGGATCTGTGGGGAGAATAAAAAAATGATTTCACCTGAAAATTCAACTTTCCATCCCAACTTTTGCTTCTCTTTTCTTGTAATGTCCTTAATCAGTAAAGAACTTATCCTACTGACTTGGTCAATCACATCCTTCTTTGCAGACCTCCATAGTATCTTGGCAATAAAGCTGTAGAGATGCTGAGGATTCTTCTTGCAGTAAGGGCGATAAAGAAGTCGAACCCACCAGTGTTTGACACAGTAAGGTTCAATACCAAGAAAGACCACCAACCCAAAAAGATCTGAGAAGAAAACAAGAAAAAAAACACATTGAGAATAACTGTTTCTATATTTCTTCATTACTATTTTGAATAACCACTTTCATAGACATTATACACAGTACACAAATTTTCTATGAATTAAAATACAGATTGTACAGACTTGAATCTGAAAGTTAATTCCACTTTGACTACATTTGTTTAGTATTTATTTTGCTCTAGGATTCATGCTAGGAGCTAAAATGTGAACCACTACACAGACCTTGTATTTAATCCAAAAGTCTGAAATTTCTGTCAGAGGTAAAACCAGAAAATGACTCACTTGTGTGTGCCTGATCAAGAGATACATAAGAAGAGTCAGACACTGAAACTATTGGATGTAAAAGTTGCTGGATATGAAAGTAAGTTTAAATGACTTAGGTGATACGAAGAATATTCACTGTTCCAATATTTGTTATACTTTGGTTTAATTATTCTAAAACTGAGGAAATAAGACGAAAACAATGATAAAAAATATAGACAAGATTAATCGACATGGTGATGTTCATAGCAACAACAAACAGAACAAAAAGGACTCAAATAGAAGAATGAGTAAATAAATTATGCAGTATTCTCCATAAGACAAAGCTTTTTTTTTTTTTTTTTTTTTTATCCAGTAGGTCTTGTGTTTGTTAGATTTACTGCATGGTACTTCTTATATATTTCATGATTGGGTACACTCAATTTTATACACCATTTTCTGTTCACTTAACATTAATACCCTACATAGTTTTCATTTTTATGATGAAGTTTTAAAATATGGAAAACTGCTTAGGATACAATAAAAAAAGGATATAAAATGCATGCAGTATGAGGATAAACCTATAAACCTTTATGTAAAATAGAATAGAATAATGGTTATATCTTCAAATGAAGAGTATGGTGGAGTGTAATTTTCTTTATATTTTTCTGTATTGTTAAACATGTTCACATTAGGCTCTTGAGAAACCATGACAATTGTTTTTATAAAAAGGCCATGACCTTACGTACAGCATTTATTCTGAATATGCCCAACAAATACTTAGGTTGAATTAAGCTACTTTGATGATTTCTAAGAGTTAGTTAACATCTGAAAGTATTGCCTATATACAGATTTCGATGGATATATTATAATATATATATGTTTTTGTTATAATATATATTATATTATATATATGTTTTTGTTTAAATCAATCTAGTTGCATATGTACTATCTTTTCTTTGAGATCCCAAATATGCCTCAAACTCAACTTGCCAAAATCATATTTATAACCTCTTTGCCCAAATATGCTTCTCTTCTGGTGCTCTTCATTGGTAAATACTCTCACTGTCCATAGATGCAAGTCAGATGTCTTGGCATCTTCTGATCACTGTTAAGCCTTATTAATTTTTTTCTTATCCATTTTTTCCCATTTCTTCAGGACCATCTTAGTTCAAATCCAAAGTGCCAGTGTCACTTATCTAGATTACTTGTTGTAGCCAACTGATAATGTACTATCCACTCTTGTCACTTCTGAACCATCTCCACATGGCAATTTGAGCTTTTAAAATCCAAATCTCGCCATGAGATGATCCCCAACCACTTTGTTTAAATCCTTTCAGTAGCTCCTACTCTTCTTCAGAAAATAAAACAATAAAAACAATTCCTTATCATGGCCTACAGAATCCTCCATGGTCTGGTCTACGTCCATCTACTCAGCCTCTCAACCTACTGTGTTCTCCCTGGCTCTGTGGATTCTAGTCACACTGGTATCCTTCTGATCTCTTTCTGCCTGATCATCTTTATTAGATTTTGTTTCCTTTACAACAGAGAATTCTTCCCTCCCTCTTTACCTGGCTCATATTAGTATTTCAGATCCTGGCTCAGCTGTCACTTCCTTATATATCTCTATTATGTGATGTCACAGAACAAGACATCTTTTCTGAAGCCTATTAGAGTTTGACTTTTACATTTATTTCATACATTAAAATTATCTTGACCACAGTCTCATATTTGTCTAAGTACTTAATGAATAGAACTTCCCTTTTATGCTGTAAGCTCAAGAAGGTCAGGGACTTTGTCTATTTTTTGCTGTTATACTTCACAAAGAATAAGTGAACCAATAAATGCACCGCAAAGTACTTAAGTAATTTAGAGTCAACACTTCTAAAGAAGCTAAAATGAATAAACAAATATATAAATGGATAATAAAAACAACAAAAGCAGCAGTGGAAGCAGCTACCATTCACTGCATATTTAATACCTGCCAGGTACTGTGCTAAATACTTTGTATACTTTATTATAATTAATCTTAAAACATCTTACTTTAGAGATTAAATAAAAACGTGAATGTAATTTCTTTAATGGACATACAACTCAATGTGGTCAACCTGGTTGTTAGGAAGTGGTATGATTTCGCCTGGAGGGGATATTTGGCAATGCTTAAAAAACAGTTGTGGGAAATATCAGAAAGGGAGACAGAACATAAAGACTCCTAACTCTGGGAAAAGAACTAGGGGTGGTGGAAGGGGAGGAGGGCGGGGGGTGGGGGTAAATGGGTGACGGGCACTGAGGGGGACACTTGACGGGATGAGCACTGGGTGTTATTCTGTATGTTGGTAAATTGAACACCAATAAAAATTAATTTATTAAAAAAAAAAAAGTAGGTATCACAATTGGAGGAGTGTTACTGCCATCTAGTGGGTAGAAGCTAAATATCCTAAGATGCAAGGACAGGTCCCAACGAAAAAGAACTATCCAGCTCTAAATGTTAATGGCGCCAAGATTGAGAAACCCTCCTCTAACATCAAAAGAAAATAGTTTCATTCTTCTGCATGTGGATGTTCAATTTTCCCAGCACCATTTACTGAAGAGACTGTCTTTCTTCCAATGGATCGTCTTTCCTCCTTTATCGAATATTAGTTGACCATAAAGTTCAGGGTCCACTTCTGGGTTCTCTGTTCTGTTCCATTGATTTCTGTGTCTGTTTTTGTGCCAGTACCACACTGTCTTGATGAACCACAGCTTTGTAGTACAACCTGAAATCTGGCATTGTGATGCCCCCAGATATGGTTTTCTTTTTTATTCTTATTTTTATTTATTTATTTTTTTAAATTTATGATAGGCACACAGTGAGAGAGAGAGAGAGGCAGAGACACAGGCAGAGGGAGAAGCAGGCTCCATGCACCGGGAGCCCGACGTGGGATCCGATCCCGGGTCTCCAGGATCGCGCCCTGGGCCGAAGGCAGGCGCCTTTGGTTTTCTTTTTTAAAATTCCCTTGGCTATTCGGGGTCATTTCTGATTCCACACAAATCTTAAAATAATTTGTTCTCTCTGAAGAAAGTCCATGGTATTTTGATAGGGATTGCATTAAACGTGTAAATTGCCCTGGGTAACATTGACATTTTCACAATATTAATTCTGCCAATCCATGAGCATGGAATATTTTTCCATCTCTTTGTGTCTTCCTCAATTTCTTTCAGAAGTGTTCTCTAGTTTTTAGGTTAGTTTTAGGTATAGATCCTTTACCTCTTTGGTTAGGTTTATTCCTAGGTATCTTATGCTTTTGGGTGCAATTTTAAATGGGATTGACTCCTTAATTTCTCTTTCTTCAGTCTCATTGTTAGTGTATAGAAGTGTCATTGATTTCTGGGCATTGATTTTGTATCCTGCCACGCTACCAAATTGCTGTATGAGTTCTAGCAATCTTGGGGTGGAGGCTTTTGGGTTTTCTATGCAGAGTATCATGTCATCGGCGAAGAGGGAGAGTTTGACCACTCTCTTTCACCATACACAAAGATAAACTCAAAATGGATGAAAGATCTAAATGTGGGACAAGATTCCATCAAAATCCTAGAGGAGAACACAGGCAACACCATTTTTAACTCAGCCACAGTAACTTCTTGCAAGATACATCCACGAAGGCAAAAGAAACAAAAGCAAAAATGAACTATTGGGACTTCATCAAGATAAGAAGCTTTTGCACAGCAAAGGATACAGTCAACAAAACTCAAAGACAACCCTACAGAATGGTAGAAGATATTTGCAAATAACATATCAGATAAAGGGCTAGTTTCCAAAATCTATAAAGAACTTATTAAACTCAACAGCAAAGAAACAAACAATCCAATCATGAAATGGGCAAAAGACATGAAGAGAAATCTCACAGAGGAAGACATAGACATGGCCAACACGCACATGAGAAAATGCTCCGCATCACTTGCCATCAGGGAAATACAAATCAAAACCACAATGAGATACCACCTCACACCAGTGAGAATGGGGAAAATTAACAAGGCAGGAAACCACAAATGTTGGAGAGGATGTGGAGAAAAGGGAACCCTCTTACACTGTTGGTGGGAATGTGAACTGGTGCAGCCACTCTGGAAAACTGTGTGGAGGTTCCTCAAAGAGTTAAAAATAGACCTGCCCTACGACCCGGCAAATGTACTGCTGGGGATTTACCCCAAAGATACAGATGCAATGAAATGCCGGGATACCTGCACCCCGATGTTTCCAGCAGCAATGTCCACAATAGCCAAACTGTGGAACGAGCCTCGGTGTCCATCGAAAGATGAATGGATAAAGAAGATGTGGTTTATGTATACAATGGAATATTACTCAGCCATTAGAAATGACAAATACCCACCATTTGCTTCAACGTGGATGGAACTGGAGGGTATTATGCTGAGTGAAGTAAGTCAATCGGAGAAGGACAAACAGTGTATGTTCTCATTCATTTGGGGAATATAAGTAATAGTGAAAGGGAATATAAGGGAAGGGAGAAGAAATGTGTGGGAAATATCAGAAAGGGAGACAGAACATAAAGACTCCTAACTCTGGGAAACGAACTAGGGGTAGTGGAAGGGGAGGAGGGCGGGGGGTGGGGGTGAATGGGTGACGGGCACTGAGGGGGCACTTGACGGGATGAGCACTGGGTGTTATTCTGTATGTTGGTAAAGTGAACACCAATAAAAAATAAATTTATTTAAAAAAAAAGAAAATAAATGAGATTTCCACTTCCAACTACACCATAGTGAATCTGGGCAGTCTAATATTTCTACTACAACAACTACAAAAAGAAGAGATACAATGAAGAATCATAGTGTTAAAGACATCAGAGAATTATGGAAGCAAAGAGGAAAGATAAACTATCAGAAAGTTTAGAGAAGGTCTGTTTCAGGTAACTTGGGCTTGAGGAAACTTTTGGGGCTGATCATCATAATTGTGTAAATAGATTCATGGGAATATATGTAGGTAAAACATTGACAAATTTTATATTTTAAATATTTACAGTTTTATCGTATGTCATTTTTTTAAATTATTTATTTATTTATGATAGTTACACACACACACAGAGAGAGAGAGAGAGGCAGAGACACACAGGCAGAGGGAGAAGCAGGCTTCATGCACCGGGAGCCCGATGTGGGATTCGATCCCGGGTCTCCAGGATCGCGCCCTGGGCCAAAGGCAGGCGCCAAACCGCTGCGCCACCCAGGGATCCCCTCGTATGTCATTTATACCTCAGTAAAGCTGTAGAGACATTTCTCCAAAGACATACAGACTTTGGAAGGCCAACATACACATGAAAAGATGCTAACATCACTTATCATTAGGGAAATGCAAATCAAAACCACAATATCACCTCACACCAGTCAGAATGGCTACAATCAAAACCACAACAAACAACCAGTGTGAGCAAGGATGTGGAGAAAAAGAAAATCTTGTGCACTGTTGGTGGGAATGCAAACTGGGGCAGCCACTGTGGGAAAGAGTCTGGGAGTTCCTCAAAAAATGAAAAATAGAATTATCATATGAGCCAGCAATTCCACTACTGGGTATTTACCCCCCTAAAAAAACAAACACTTATTCAAAAAGCTATATATCCCTGCATTATTGCAGGATTATTTACAACAGCCAAATTATGGAAGCAACTCAAGTGTTCATTGATAGGTGGGTGAATGGATAAAGAAGATGTAATATATACACTAGAATATTACTCAGCTATAAAAAAGAATGAAATCCGGCCACATGCAACAACATGAATGGATCGAGAGGGTATATAATGCTAAGTGAAATAAGTCAGAAAAAGATAAATACTATAGGATTTAACTCCTATGTGTAATTTAAGAAACAAAACAAATGAACAAAGAAAAAAAAAAGATAACAAAACAGACTCTTAAATATAGAGAATAAACTGATAGTTACCAGAGGGGAGGTGGGTGGAGGGATGAGTGAGATGGTAAAGGGGATTAAGAGTACACTTACTGTGATGAACACTGAGCAATGTATATATACAAATACTGAATCACTACACTGTACACCTAAAACTAATATAACACTATATGATAATTATACTGGCATTAAAAAAAATTACTCAAGAATTTGTTACATGGTATAAGTGCTTAAATACCTGTCAATACCTTATGTATCCAAAATAACCTAACCAGGAAACTGAGGAATTACTGTTATATTCTTTCAATGTTAAAATTAGAAAAATGTAACTCTGACAGTCATCTTTTTCTTGTACCCTCTCAGCTAACTTTTGAGCCTAATAAAATCTTATTAACAACTAAACACTTAAAATTTGGGCAATTTCCAAATGTAATAGCAGACCACTAAATTTGGCCTTTTAATTAGCCTGATATTATTGATAAATTATGCAAATATTTAAACACATAGTTAAGATCGTCCTAGAAAACATTTTGCCCCTAAAAATAATTTAAAAGTTAGTTTTTCAGATCATAGCAATGAATACTGATATTTTTATCTTAAAAAATGGTAAGGTAAAAAAAATGGTAAGTTAACTTGTTGAAAACAATGTATGAAAACCTGAATTTCAGTAAATTTTTTTTAAAAAGAAACTTAAGTTTTGAGGATGAACATTTCCCACAGGACTTCAAGAATATCTACATTTTATAACTACATTTTATTTATTTTTTTTTTTTTATTTTTTTTTTTTTTATTTATTTATGATAGTCACAGAGAGAGAGAGGCAGAGACACAGGCAGAGGGAGAAGAGCAGGCTCCATGCACCGGGAGCCTGACGTGGGATTCGATCCCGGGGCTCCAGGATCGCGCCCTGGGCCAAAGGCAGGCGCCAAACCGCTGCGCCACCCAGGGATCCCTATAACTACATTTTAATAACAGCTTTTCTGAAAATTTATTATGTAAAACAACATTTAATACAACTTCTAGTTTTAAATATTCACAACTTGAATGAAATTTGTAATGCAACGTCTGTTTTACAGAAAAAGTTAAGTTATATGGATGAGATGAATGTAGAGGCAAGAGTTACAATGTGCATGTGGGAGTGGAGGAGAACCTGACACAATCTAAATGCCCAAGAGGAACAGTTGAAGGAATAATGGTCTAAGTGTATGAGGCGATATTAAAAAGCTATGAACTTTTATAACTCTTACAATTAATAAAATTGTGATCCCACTCTTTATGGATCAGCCAATGAAAATCATGATCCTTATTTTTGTAGATAGAGCCAATTGAAATTAATTCCTTTTCCCTCTCCTCTCTCTCATTAGGCTCTCTCTGTTTTGTACTTACTGCTTTGGAACTCTGACTTCAATTTAGACCTGCATCTTTAGACCTGCTGAGGAGGGCACAATGACTGTTTGACTTATGACTATGGGACTACTCATGGTGTATCTGTCCTCATAGATAAAACAAAAACCCCTCAATTTCATTTAAAAAGATAAATGCTTGAGGCCACTAGGAATTAAATATAAATATATGTACATCACTTAAGTAAGGATTTTAACAAAGTTAAACATATATTTTCTTCAAAAAAAGCAAGCTTTAAAAATACATGCCAAATGTGAGGAAAGCACACATTACCCTCCAATCCTCTTTGCACTGGAGTGCCACTGATGCACCAGCGATTAATCCCACTCAAGCGCTGAGCCATTTCTGCAGCCTAATGAGAGAGAAATATGAAATAAAAAAGAAAAGAAAAAAAAGACGGCAAATCAGGAATATGCTTACTTCTGAGAACAGTCCATGAAAAGCTATGCTTCAGGTCAGACATATTCACTCTTATTTAACAGCTATCACACTCAAAGTTAAATGTCAAAATGAATGGGTCATCTTCTAGCAGTGGCTCCCATTAGTAGCAAGCTGCCATGTGCCCTCCTCAAAAGAGGAAGAGTAGTTCAAGTTTGTGTAGAATGAAAAGCCTCCCTGAATGACCGATACATCCCCTAAGACACTCCATTCTTCAGATGTGGACTAATGTACTAATAGATACCATTCATAAATTGAGTTTAGGTTACAAACTGGCCAAAGAAGACAGAATAAAGATATATGATGAACAAAAGCTGAATCAATACTCTGCATTCTAAAGTAGCATGGTCTGTTATGATATGGTCTCTCTGATAAAAAATTGCCGGTTAACTTTGGTCCAAAACTATCAGGCCCTATATGATAAGCTTTCCACTTAGCAGAAATGCTTAGAAAAGTCCCTAAACAGAGTTTACTTTCATCTGCACCACACATAAACTGCCATCTTATTGAAATACACATAGGCTCTGCATATAAAGCAATAATTCACCTAGTACCAAAATAATTCCTAAGGGTTATGAAGTTCATGGAACAACAGAAAAGCATATGTATTGTGTTTAATAGCAAATTTTTTGCCAATATCAGTATTGTGGGCTAATTACACTTAAATTATTAAATTTTTTATGGACAGTTTCCCCAATCTCTTCTTTTTTCTTCCCCAGTGCTCATAAGATTCTGCAGAAATGCTCACTTTCACAGCAGGACATTCAACCATCTGGGCTTCATCAAGGCAGATCCTCCACCACTCCACAGCTACTAGGGGGCTGGGAATGGCCATATAGCGCTTCTGGTTCCGTAAGCGACGTCCATCCTCACTATTGCTGTGTGGGATATCTACATAGTTTAGTTCTGAACGAAGGACATCATAGGTAATGATAACTATATCCTGTTCAGCCAAAAAATGAGGTTGTAAAAAACCATCTTTCTTCACTCCTTGGTATACCTAGGAAATAATCACCACAGATAGAATTATTGCAGAAAGGCTCATTAAAGATAACTAAAATATTCATTCCTTTATATCTTTACTGAGCTCTATTTGTTTAGTACCAGACACGCTATGAGATATATTCTCAACATGCCTAGAGAAAGATACATTTTAGGGTGGAAGACCAATGACATAAGCAATGTGAAAGGAAATGTAACAGAAGTAAAAGTGGTAGCACAGTGGAAAGACCAATGTTGGAGCTGAGAAGGTAAGTTCAGAGAGGAGTGAAAATTTGAGGTGGATCTTGAAGAACACTTAGGAGTTCTCCCAAGGGGAACAAGAAGAAAAAGGTAGGTAGTGCAAAAGCACAAAGGTATGAAGAAGTAGAACAGTAAGAGCTATAATTTACTGAATATCTTTTATATTTTGGACACCATGCTAAGCTTTAACTCTTATCTTCAATAACAATCTTGTTCATAGTTGTTATTACTCCTATCCTACACATATGAAACATCAAGTTTCTTGCTCAAAACTAGCAGAGTCTAGATTCAAAGCAAGGGCTATCTACCTTACAAAACAGAGCTCCTCAATGGCACAGATGGGTGTTTTACTTACTACTATATTCTTTTTCCATGTCTATAAGCAGTAGCTGAAATATCGAAAACCTTAAGTAACATTTGTGTGGAAAGAACAAAGGGAGCGAAGAATACTAACATAAAAAACTCAAAACTTGGGCAGCCTGGGTGGCTCAGTGGTTTAGTACCTGCTTTCGGCCCAGGGCGTGATCCTGGAGACCCGGGATCGAGTCCCACATCGGGCTCCCTGCATGGACTCTGCTTCTCCCTCTGCCTGTGTCTCTGCCCCCCCCCCCTCTCTCTCGATGTGTCTCATGAATAAATAAATAAAAATCTTAAAAAAAAAAACACCCTCAAAACTCAACAAAATGGGTTTAGAGGAAACATATCTCAACATAGTAAAGACCATATATGACAACACAAGCTAACATCATACTCAATGGTGAAAAACTGAAAGCTTTCCCTCTAGGGTCAAGAGTACGACAAGGGTATCTGTTTTCATCACTTTTATTCAACATAGTCCTGAAAGTCCTAGCTGCAGCAATCAGATGAGAAAAAGAAATAAAAGGCACCCAAAATGGTCCAAATTATTAAGAAGGGAGTTTAACTGTCACTATTATCAGATGGCATAATTGTATATATATATATAGAAAACCCTAAAGATTCCACCTAAAAACTATCGGAACCAATTAATGAATTTGGTAAAGTTACAGGATACAAAATTAATATACAGAGATCTGTTGTACTTCTATACACTAATAATTAGGAAATTAGGAAAAGATCCTAATTAGGAAAGAGAAATTAGGAAAATGATCACTTTCACAATTATATCACAAAGAAAAAAATACTAGAAATAATTTTAACCAAGAAGGTGAAATACCTATTATCTGAAAACTGTAAGACACTGAAGACAAAAACTGAAGATGAAACACACAAACGGAAAGATAAACCATGCTTATGCATTAAAAAAATTAATATTGTTAAAATATCCATAGTACCCAAAGCAATCTACAGATTCAGTGCAATCCCTATCAGAATAGCAATAGCATTTTTTCACAGAACTAGAACAAATAATCCTCAAAACTGGTATGGAACCATAGAAAGCCTTGAATAGTCAAAGCAATCCTGCAAGAGCTGAAGGTATCACAATCCTCGACTTCGAGATATACTGGAGAGCTGTAGTAATCAAGAGTATGGTACTGGCACAAAAAGAAATACAAAGAGCAATGGAACAAGACAGCCCAGAAATAAACCCATACTTATATGGTTAGTTTATCTATGATAGAAGGGCAAGAATATACAATGGAGAAAAGATAGTATCTTCAATAAATGGGTGCTGGGAAAACTGGACAGCTACACGCAAACAAATAAAAGCGATCCACTTTCTTATACCATATAAAAATTAACTCAAAATGGAATAAAAATCTAAATGTGAGAGTTGAAACCATAAAACTCCTAAAAGAAAACACTGGCAGTCACCTCTTAGAAGTTGGCCTGGCAACTTCAGGCAAGGGAAACAAAAACTAAAGTAAACTACTGACACTGAAGCAAAATAGAAACCTTACACACAGCAAAGATCACCATCAAAAAAAAAAGGCAGGGCAGCCCAGGTGGCTCAGCGGTTTAGCGCTGCTTTCAGTCCAGGGCCTGATTCTGGAGACCCGGGATCGAGTCCCATGTTGGGCTCCCTGCGTGGAGCCTGCTTCTCCCTCTGCTTGTGTCTCTGCCTCTCTCTCTCTCTCTCTGTCTCTCTCGTGAATAAATATTAAAAAAAAAAAGACCAAAAAGGCAATCCAGTGAATGGGAAAGATATTTGCAAGTGATATATCCATTAAGGAGTTAATAGACAAAATATATAAAGAACTTATATAGCTTGACATAAAAAAAAATATGATTAAAAAATGGGCAGAGGATCTGAACAGACATTTCTCCAAAGAAGATATACAGATGGCCAACAGACACATAAAAAAGATGCTCGACATCACTAAACAGAAATGCAAATCAAACAACGAGGTATCACCTCACACTGGTCAGAATGGCTAGTATCAAAAAGATAAGAACTAACAAGCATTGGTGAAGATATGGAGAAGAGGAAATTCTCTAGTGCACTGTGGGTGGGAATGTAAACTGCTGCAACCACTGTAGAAAATAGTTTGAAAGTTCCCACCAAAATTAAAAAAGAGAAATACTGGGCAGCCTGGGTGGCTTAGCAGTTTAGTGCCGCCTTCAGCCCCGTGCGGGATCCTGGAGACCTGGGATCGAGTCCTGTGTCGGGCTCCCTGCATGGAGCCTACTTCTCCCTCTGCCTCTCTCTGTGTCTCATGAATAAATAAATAAAATCTTTAAAGCAAACCCAGAAATATTATATACTATATGATCCAGTAATTCCAGTATTTACCCAAAGAAAATGAAAACACTAATTTGTTTTTTTTTGTTTTTTTTTTTAATTTTTTTTTAAATTATTTATTTACGATAGTCATACAGAGAGAGAGAGAGAGAGAGAGGCAGAGACACAGGCAGAGGGAGAAGCAGGCTCCATGCACCGGGAGCCTGACGTGGGATTCGATCCCGGGTCTCCAGGATCGCGCCCTGGGCCAAAGGCAGGCGCCAAACCGCTGCGCCACCCAGGGATCCCGAAAACACTAATTTGAAAATATAGTCACCCCTAGGTTTATTGCAGTATTATTTACAATAGCCAAGTTATGGAAGCAACCTGTGTTCACTGACAGATGGACAGATAAAAAAGATATGGTGTATAAAAATATACAGTTGAATATTAGTTATAAAAAAGAGTAAGATCTTTCCATTTGTGACAATATGAGCCTCGAGGTATTAGGCCTGATGAAGTAAGTCAGAGAAAGAAAGATAAACCCATATTTCATTTATATGGGGAACCCTAAAAAAACAAATGAATAAACATAAAGTATAAATAGCGAGAACAAACTGGTGGTTAGCAGAGCAGAGGGAATTGAGGGGGTGGGTGAAATAGGTGAACGGAATTAAGAAGTACAGAGTTCTAGTCCTTTTTTTTTTAAGGTTTTTTTTATGATTTATTTATTCATGAGAGAGAGAGAGAGAGAGAGAGAGAAACAGAGAGAGAGGCACAGACACAGGCAGAGGAAGAAGCATGCTCCATTGAATGCAGGGAGCCTGACATGGGACTCGATCCCGGGTCTCCAGGACCACACCCTGGGTTGAAGGCAGTGCTGAACAGCTGAGCCACCCAGGCTGCCCCAGAGTTCTAGTTCTAAGATATATAAGTCACCAGGATGAAAAATACAGTATAGGTAATATAATCAATAATACTGTAATAACATTGCATGGTGACAGATAACTACACTTATCATGTTGAGTATAGCTTAACATACAGAATTGTCAATTCACTGTTACATACTTAAAATTAATAGAACACTGTATGTCAATTATACTTCAATAAAAAAAGAAATACTAACATTAGTAAATTACAATGTACTATGTACCAGCACTTTTTATCAAATCATTTAATCTTCAAAGTATGTGAGGGTATACTATTTTTAGAACTTAGCACAATTCTTAGTATATTGTAGGTGCTCAATAACTGTTGAATGAGTAAATTCTTATTTTACAGATACGGTGAGGCTTCAGAGGATGATTCTGGAGCTAAGAGGTAGAGATCAGACAAGTAGCTACTGTTAACACAATGGTGCCTTTGGACTGCATTTCTGTCTGAGAGTATAAATGCATATATGAAGTCTTTTTTGTTTACATGATGAATTTTTTCAAAAGCTTTCACATCTTTTCACTCAAAGTGCCTGATGTCAGACAAGAATATAGAATCCACTCTTTCATTTCATTTTCATTTCTTGTTTTCCTTTTCAAGTTCTGACTTCATATTATCTCATTAAGTTAATTTTTGGGATAAAGAACAAAGTGACAAAGATTATGAAACTTATCACAAGGAAGCAAAAACTAACATTTTCCTATCCCTTTCAAGAGCCCAAACTGCCTTACCAAGACTCGAAGAGATGATGACCTCACATGCCTGTTGATTTCATCCACCCACTGATGACAGATGGAACTGGGTGAGATGATCAGAGTTGCTCTTGTTGATACTGGCTCCATTGCAACAAGACAGTGGGGACAGTAAAAAGGTTTAATCTTCAGATTCTTCTCTTCATAATTCACACATTTTGCATGTTGCCACAGGTGGCATTTCAGGCACTGAACACGAGGTTTACGGTCTGCCTGGTCAAGTTCACCACATATGCATTCAAAGCGATAATCAGAGGAATTACAGGGACTCAAGATAGTAGATTGCGGCACATCACCATCAGCAGGGTTTAGAGATTCAGCTTGGTCCTCAGCTGCATGTTCTTGCTTGCCTTCAAAGATACATGCACTTTTAGATGTGGCAACATCAGTAATTCCAGATTCATTGGTAGCTGGATAGTGATCTTGTGAACTGAGACTGATGTTAGGCTGACCTTTTCCCTTTTTTGTGGATGTAACAGGCTTTTTCCTGAATTTACTACGATTTCTCCGAGCCTTATAATAATAATAGTAAGGATCATCATCATCATCAGATGTGTTTGACGGCAAGTATTCAGAATCTGTGTCTTTGCTCCCTGATTTTCTGGATTCTTTCTGAATTTTCCTTGGACTCCCTACTGCCTAAGGAAAATATTATTTAATTAATTGATTTCAACATGATTACATTTCTGAAATTATATTCCCAACCTTACTTATAAGTTTTCCATAAAAGCCCAATAGTCTTTCTTTGCTACCATTTTCCCAGAGGAGAATCATTCCTGATCAGTGGCTTTCAATATGCCCTCTGTAGTCTCTAGGTCTAAAAAAGGGAGGCTCCATTATGGTAAAGTAAAATTTGAAGACAATAAAAATTAGAAAGGTAGTATATTGAAATTAACCTCTTATAATTTATAATTTGTCTAAACCGATAAAAGACTGTAGTTTTTATAATACATAAATAGACAAACTAGGATCATTATAAACATACCAAGCACTAAGACATAGCATTTAAAGAAAGTGAAAATTAATCTACTAGTTACTACAATTAGCAAATAAATTCCTTTTTTCTCCTTTCTACCGGTGTCCCTTCCTGAAATTATTTACTGAATGCCAATTCTGTGCCAGGTATAGTGCTAGATGCTGGGGATACAAATATGAGAAATACTTAACTCGTGGTCTCCAAAGGGGTCAATTGGAAATGGGAGAATAATAACAAGTGAAACGATGGTATAGGAATGTGTAAGAGGGTATGTAACAGAGGGGCTGTGACGGAGAGGTAGGCGCTAGCAATAGCGCCCTAGAAGTGATATAAGAACTGAGATTGGGGAATCCCTGGATGGCTCAGCGGTTTAGTGCCGCCTTCAGCCCAGGGTGTGATCCTGGAGTCCCGGGATCGAGTCCCACGTCAGGCTCCCTGCATGGAGCCAGCTTCTCCCTCTGCCTGTGTCTCTGCCTCTCAGTCTCTCTCTCTCTCTCTCTCGAATACATAAAATCTTAAAAAAAAAAAAAAAGAACTGAGATTGAACAGAGAAGTTGGAACACTTAAAATTAAATGAATGGTTTTAATTGAAGATTTTCCTTTTGAGATGCCTGGGTGGCTCAGCGGTTGAGCATCTGCCTTTGGCTCAGGGTGTAATCCCAGTTCAAGAATTGAGTCATGCATTGGGCTCCTTGCAGGGAGCCTGCTTCTCCCTCTGCCTGTGTCACTGCCTCTCTCTCTGTGTCTCTCATGAATAACTAAATAAATACAATCTTAAAAATAAAAAAAAAAAAAAAAAGAAAAAGATTTTTCTTTCCTGGTGACAAATGGATTACTAGAGCACAGAAAATCTTTGTAGCATTCTAATCTAGAGAGGGAAAATGCTGGAGTCTCCCTACTCCAGAAAGTGAACTTTTTAATCTGCCATTTCTTTCACAGTAGACAAGCTCGTTGTCCAAAACTTTGACTTATTGTATTAGTCTTTATCTGATTTATTTATTTAAAGTTAGTTTACTGAGCAGCCCGGGTGGCTCAGTGGTTTAGCACCTGCCTTCAGCCCAGGGCCTGAACCTGGAGACCCAGGATTGAGTCCCACATCAGGCTCCCTGCATGGAGCCTGCTTCTCCCTCTGCCTGTGCCTCTGCCTCTCTCTCTGTCTCTCTCATGAATAAATAAAATATTAAAAAAATAAAGTTAGTTTATTCATTCATTTATTTATGGTAATCTCTATAACCAATGCTCACGCTATTCTGATTGATTCATTCAAGCCCCCTTTACCTGATTTAATAGCTATGTAACCAATTTTTTAAATGCAAATTTGAAATTAAGAGCCCAAAAAGCAATTTTATAACAAAATGTAAAAATTTCCTAAGATGATATGAGAAAAATAAGAATTTATACAAAAAACTGAAAATGTATATAAAGAGCTAAGCAAATGTAAGGTATCTAATATTTTTAAACTACAGATGTTTTTAACTGCTGACAAAAGCATGATGAGGATAGAGCTGCTTAACTTATTTTTTTTTCTCTTTAAAAAATATATTCTTTAGAGTTATTTTAAACTCTATAATATGCTTAACCCACTAATATAATTCATCCAGTAAATATTTATTGGGTATTTGCTATGTGCCAAGCACTCTTCTCTGGGCTTAGTAAACAAAATAATATTTCTACTCTGGTGAAACTTATATTCAGGAAGTAGAAAAGATAAGTCATAGCCATATGTGATTAGTTTGTTTTTTACCTTTAGTGTCTAAGAGCCTCAGTATCAAATGGGATCTATTCAATGCCTTCTATAAGGCATCACATACAGCAACTTAACAAATGTTCTGTTACCTGCTTTTTTGTTTTATCATATATATCCTCTTCCTTGTAATTCTTCCCCAATGTAAAAGTTCCAGAAAAACCATGGCCTTTGATCTGTTTCACAAGACCTTCAAAAATTAAACATTTCAGCATCCGTTTCAGAAGACTCCTGTTCCGCTGAACATCATATCTATATATAGAACTGACATATTTATAGATGGAAAGGATGGAAACTCCTTTTTTTCCATTCATTTCTTTCACAGCTGTCAGGATCATCACACGTGTAGCTATATGCAAAAGGATATGCTAGCTCAGTCAAAATAATTAAAATCAAAAAAACAGAACACAGTTAAATGCATTGAGAACTAAGTTGAGAAAATATAAAGCAAAGATTTATTGGAGATATATTGCTTGTGTATCATCATTTTGAAGAATATGTAATAAGTTTATCTCAACACATTAATAAATTATTATAGAAATAAGGAAGAATTATTCTTTAATTTGTTAACCTTAGAAAGCAACTATCATTTAAAATTGTATTTTAAAAAACCTCTCACAATTATCTATATATATGCTACCTAAGGGAAATATTCATTTGCTAGAAGAATTTGAAGTAACTATGACTGAGAATAAACAAAACCTGGATTAAACTGTAAGATTAAGAAATTCAAATATAAAAGACTGAATAAGAACTATCTAGACTAAAAAAAAATCAATCAAATGAAAGAATAAATCTTTACTTTTGTTAAGACTTGTAATTGACTCCATTTATACAAAGTATAAATGACTATGAAAACAATTCATAACAATTACAATATAGCTCTATACAAGGAATGAAAGAACTATCACAAAGATGACTGTAAAAAAGGTATTTTCTTTAAAGATTTCATACTTACGGGGGCACTGAACTTTTTCTTTTGGTTCAAATTCCATATTCTGGGTTTCTGTGTTTTTTACTTTTCCTCCAGAATAATGTGATGGAATGAAATAATTCACCACTTTTCCCTGATATAAACAACATTCAGTAGTCACACAGTGCTTTGTTTTCAGTAATTGGGATTGCTTATTAAAATTAACCCTCCTTCTACTAAGGAGATGCAAGAGAGTTGTAAAAAATGATGAAAGAGCTAGAATGCTATTCATACATACAAACCTTTTTTTTTTTTTTTAATATCTCAGGGCTTACTGCTGGCCATCACTTTTAAAAACTGTTATATTATCTTAAATTACCCAAATGTTAAGTGTAGAACTTCTAAAATTACCTTTTAAAGGCTTGTTTAAGTATGGAATTAATATAGAAGTTACTGACAATTAAAACTATATATTCTAACATTTTTCTTTTTTACAATTAAATAGATATTTTCTATTCCATACTCAAATCTATAAAGTTAACTTTAACTTTGCAAATCTGACCTTATCAGAAGATCACATTATCATTAAAGTTGTGAGCACCATGGGCCCTACAAGTAATCAATTATGTCCTTAACTAGAGTGTTGATTTTAGATCTGGTTATTTGAAATTATGAGCTACATTTGTCTCGGGGCACCCTCATAAACTCTAAAATTTATATTTTTAAACACAATTATATATTTTGGAATGAGGACTTAAGAGTTTGATTCATTTAGCAATCTATTAATCAATCATTAGATTCTATGATTTACATATCTGAGATCTGTACAATTAAAAAAAAATCACTCAAAAATATTTAGTGGTAATATGGAAGCTTGTAGTACTGGCAAAATATTCAATGAACTCACAGTACTTTCCTAAGAGAGCTTATCTCCTTCCTAGTTGGCCAATACCACTTACAAAAACCCTGCCAGGTCACAAACATCCTATTATCTGTGCCCACTTGAAGTTAACTATTAACTTATAAAAATCATTAGCCTCAAAGTAAACTGAAAGTGCTGGCTTAAGTGCCAAGCAAATGTTCGCCATATGATGCTCTTTGAGAACATATGTCCCCTGCTTTCTCAGCACTACAGTACTCCTCCTACCTCAGGAAGAGTGAGAGCATCTTGTTTGACATCTTGTCGAGTATGTGTCAGAATCAGAGCCAAAACCTCCACTGTCTTTCCGAGACCCATCTCATCTGCTAAGATTCCACCAAGCAACTGTGGCCCAGCATTTGGGTAATCACGGATGATGCTAAAGGAAAAAACAAGAAAAACATATCACAGGAATCTAAGTAAAAATTACACTATTCCTAAGAAAACTGGAAGAAATCCATAAAAGTCTAAGTTTTCTTTAAAATATATCTTAGGGTGAAGCAATCTGAAACCCTAGGTCAAAAATAAAGAACTGTGGTAATCAAAAAACTACCCGAGCTGACAACTAAGTCTGTAGAAACAGGAGTGGTACTGGTAAATGCCCATCATTTTTTTCTCCTATAAATAACAGGAAACATGTCTGCTTTCTTTTGTGTCTGTGAATAAAAAAAGAGGCCAATATCTACTGATTCACCCATTATGTTATTATATTTAATGATTCCTAAGGCTTTTTTTTTTAATTTTTTAATTTTTATTTTTTCCTAAGGCTTTTATAATAGAAATTAATAATGAAAATATAAAAATTGGTCCGTAAGATGACATTTTCACCTAAAATTATCATCTTTTTGAACGTCAATAACTAAGCATCTTAAGTCTATTATATATAGCATTCATTTACTGAAAAATGAAAATTACTATTAATTTCTATTTGTTCTACTTCTAAAAAAGGTAAAGATATGAAGTCTAACAGGACTTTAACTTAGTATTCCTTCTTAAAGTTATTTTCAAAACTAAAGACATATACTACCAATCTCAAATAGATTTTCATAATATTTATTTTTAATACCAAGCACAAGAAATTTGTCTTACCAGCCTGTATATGGATTGTAGTAGAGTTTCAAATCCTCAGGTGTAACAATCTCACGCCATAAGAAGTGCAAGGCATTTTCTAAAGAAAAATATAACCATGAGAAAAGTTTCTGTTTGTCTTCCCTTCTGCTAATCACATTGAAATAAAAATAAGTTAGCAGTCAGGACACCCTGGAAAGTCACATACACCTGGAAAAGGTTAGGATCTCATTCTTTTCTTCAGATATCTTTCTTACAATTATTCTTCCTTTGCTTTAGATACCACTATTTTTCTATATAAAGTGTTAAGACAGAAAAACAAAGTGTAGCAAATCACAGAGGATTAACAGGAAAAGAAAACTAGTATATGTGACCAATTCCTACCCAATAAAGGAAAGTAGCTTATCCTTTATAAATCTTTCAAGAAGTTGCCTGAGTTTTTAAATAACTCAACAGACATATGCTAGTGGGTTAATACATTAACCTAAACCAGACCTAACGTTTTACATGGGCTGAGAGGAACAGCTTACTTAACTGAGGAACTCACTACTAAGTGTCTACTTAAGACACTGAAGTAGAGAATGTATTTCAATCAAAATCTTTCACTATCCTTTCCCTTAATATTTTAAGTCATTTAAACCAACTGCCAAATTAGGAAGTATGTCTCTACCTACCAGTGAAACAGCAAGTAATTTTTTGTTGCCTTCTTTAGGGATTAATAGATGAAATACGAATAAAGATATATAGGTTTTATAAAATGAAAAAATTAAAAGATAAAAAGCTTCAATTTATGGGAGCCAGAGGGAACATAACTATTAAATGACACATGAGACTGAATCAAGAAAATGCATTCTGTGGAGAAAAAGAATGGATTACTGATTCATGCAGCATAGTTGAATCTCAAAAACATTATGTTGAAAGAGGTCAATTTCTCTCCTGCCTCAGGTGTCCATATTTTGCCAAACTATTTACTGTTTCAAAAACAGGCAAAACTAACTTATGATGGCAGTAGTTGCCTCCTGAAGGGGCTGAAGTAGAACTGACTGGGTCATGAGGGAAGTTTCTGGAGTGACAGAAATATTTCATGTCAACATTGTAAAACAGACATAAAAGAGATAGGTAAAGTCAATTTTAATAATTTTTTTAGCCTAGTATAACCAATATATTATCACTTCAACCTGTAATCAATATAAAAATTATTAGTGAGATGTTTGGCATCCTTTTTTGTACTATTTGAAATCTGATATATATTTTAAACTTAAAACACATAATTTAGACAACCATTTCAAGTCTTAAGAGGCAAGGGTGGCTAGTGGCTTTTGAGGAAATCTCGTTCTATGTCTTAATTGGGTCACTGGAGACACTGATGAGCAGATTTGTGCAAATTTATCAAACTGTGCCCTTAAGGTCTGTGCATTTTACTGTAAGTTATATCTTAATTACTTAAAGAAAAGTTATTTCATTTTGAAGAACAAATGGTCTGTGGCACACCTCAGACCTAACAATTTCTTCAATGAATAAATTGTAAGTAAAAATACAGAATGTGAAGAGATAAAAATCTATGGATTACAGAAATTTAAGAGACAACAACTAATTCCAATGTATGAATGTTATGTTATTTATTCAGATCTGAATAAATTATAAGAGAGAAAGAGAAATAGAGAAACAGAGAGAAAGGGGAGAAGAAAGGAAGGTATAGAAGGGAGAGATTTAGTGATATTAAGAAATTCCTGGGTTTAAAAAGCCATTATAAGATATATATTTTATATCTGTTTTAAAGGAATCCTTTGTTTTAATAAAATAAACTGAAATATTAGCAGATTAAGTGATATATGAAATGGTTACTTCAGAATAGAGTATGGAATGAGGGGGAGTGGGAAGAAATTTTGACTATAAATGGATATTATTTTCCAAAATTAAAAATTAAAAAAAAAGAATTTTATGGAATAAAAAAGTACAAACTAGATCCTATGGGAGAAATAAGAGCTATCCATCATTAAAATAAATCTATACAGAAAGAAAGAGATACAGTTGATACTTCACTTCCTAGAATCATACAAAAAAAAATCTCACCTGGTGCCTGTCTCTTTAAAGATAATGAATAAAGAAGTGGTATAAATGACACCCATAAATTCACTTTAAGGAAAACACTTAACAGATAAGATTTTATTATTTATTTTGTGGAGCAAAGAAAATAAATGCAAACCCAGAAGAATTAGTTACACATCACTCTCCCACTTTGGTAAATTTGCTTTCTGTTGCTAATATCCATCATTAAATTATGAAGCCTCTTGCAGATACTTAGCAAGATTCCCAACTGATCAGGTCCCAAAAGCAATTCTTAGTTGGAAAGACATGTAAAAAATGTATTGGTTTTTAAAAATTCTAATCAAGGTAGGAAAAATTAGTTCAAACACTTACAGATGAGGGAACCCACAAATTAATTTCTCTAGATTTTAATTTTAAAGAATTTCTTAAGCTCTCATTTTGTTCACAGTAAAACCCATTCTATTGTTTCAATATGATTTGCTTAACAATATCCCCCATCCCAATTATCTCTCATATAATCTCTATGATCAATTTGCCTTTCTTTAAGCATCTTATACTTGCCATTAGTAGGAGCACTTCTGAAATGCTCTTGTTGTAGCATCCAATTGACAGCCTCTCTCTGGTATGGTCTCAACACAGGAATCAAGGCAGGATGCTGGACATCCACTTGGATGGACTGTGTTTCTTGCTGATGTGTTTGCTTCACAAACTGATAGAGTTCATCAATCTCCTGTCCCTCTGGCTCACTCTCTGACTCTTCCTCATCCTCTTCCAACACGTCTGTATATCCAACAATAAATATACTCAAAATAACCCGATCTACCTCTTGACACTATAAGCAATTTTTATTCTACTATGTAGTTTTCCATCTCTGGGCTGGAGGGCTCTACCTAAATTCTTCACTGATCAAAAAGCCACCCTTCAAGATAGTTCAACCTTTTCCATGGCTTTTTCTTTCTTTTTTCCCTTGGTTAGAACTAATGTTCTCCTCTGTTTCATGTAACATTCTTCTACTTTGGATATAGCGATAGATTGCAATCAATCTGGCAGTGCAGTCATTTATGTGTATTTTTCCCTTGTGCACTGAACTGTAATGCAAAGGCTGTCTTTTGTTTTTATAGCTCGTCAGAGCAGCTAGCATATGCTTTGCCCATTGTAGATATTTAATAAACATTTGAATGTGAATATCTTTTGCAGTTTATAAAAGGATAATTTATTTCACTTTTACATCTTAACATAAAAAATCCATATGCAGACATAATTTTCTATGTCTAGTAAGACAAAGGTTCCCATTTTATTTCTTATGCTAAAAAAGGACAGGCATTCGGTAGCAACAGAAGCCAACTAGGAGATAATTGCTTAAGCCACTAATACCAATTTGTAAAAATATCAGATACATTTGTTGGGCATGACTGCCATTTGGAAGAAGACTGGTGCCTACTATAACATGAACAAAAATTCAAAATCTTGAATAACTGTACAAACCCACTTTAGCTTATGATTTACTTCTGAACTGTTCCAAAAAGGCCTATCTACACTTTTACAGAATGCACTTCACATGCCATAGAGTGAAGACTGTATCACAAAATACATAATTTGCTTTTTTCAACAAAAAATATGCCATACAAGATTTTCAAAATTGTATAATTAATGTCTAGTTTTATGTTAGGTTATTTCACACTTTTACTATACTTGTATATTCTCGTACTGATAACTAAATTGAAGTTTTTCTTTGAAAAAAAGAAAGTTCAATTTGTATTATTTTTAAGACAGAATAATTCTTACCATAACCTTAAAAATTCTAGATGTACTTAAAAGCATCCCTTCCAATTCTGAAACCAGAGATTTTCTTCTTTTAAGTCAATATACAAAATGATTTATTTTTATTAGTTTTTTTTTAATTAAGTAGGCTCCACACCCAACAACACCCAACATGAGGCTTGAACTCATGACCCTGAGATCAAGAGCTGCACACTCTACCAAATGAGTCAGCCAAGCACCCCTACTTTTATTAGTATTATGAAGCTTTGCAAAAGAATGTACTAAAGAAACAACTCAATGGTCAAGCTTAGAAACTGATTTCCCAAATATTCCAGTATGAAATGTTCTGTAATTTGAACCTGAAATAATGCTGACCCACCATGAGCAGGGCTTGGAGAGTTTGAGCGGTTTTTCCAGGAGTGTTAATGGGCTGCACCAAGCCATCCACACTCTCTCCTTGGGAACCAAAGGTAGACAACTCTGAAGCTGCAGTCCTGACCAAAGATGCAACATCTTGCCAAGAAACAGTAGCAAAGTTAACTGGTCTTTATGGGAAGCAGGCTTGAGATTATTTGTCAGACTGCAAAGGAGAGGTGGAATAAGGCCAACCAAGAATCTCTGGCCATGACAAAATAAAAGCACAAGAATGATGCAAAAATTCTAATCAGCTTAGATCCTTTAGACTCTGACTATTGACTGCAAATATTTCTTGGGTACTTCTCTAAGCTCAGTATTTAGCAAGGAAAGACACAAATTAGTGGGGCATTTCAGATACATATAATTTTATCAGATAGTGATTTTATAGAGATTGTTTAATTTTATTATGGTTTATCATTTTTCTGCTTGTTATGTATATGATTTGGGAAAACCTCCCAATTCTTAAAGTATCAGCAATTTTTAATTTACCTGGAATAACAAAATTGTATAACTTTTCCATCACTCTTTTCATAAGTTGATTGAATTTCTTCATTCTTGAATTTGCATCACTCAAAAAGTCTAGTTTCGCTAGACCACCTTCCAAAAGATAAATTCCAACCTACAAAGAATTAATCAACATAAAAATAGTTTTAATAGTCCTATACATTCTTTATGAGGACATAAAAATTTTTTTAACCATTACTGTTTTTAAACATATTTACAGTATTTGCTCCACAAACATTAGATACATACCTACTAAATCTCCCTCACAAATTTCAAAACTTCAATAACAAATTCATTCTACAAATGTAGTGCCTACTATGTGAGATGCACCATTCAAGTTGCTAGAAAAAAATACTTCCTAAACTGGAAATGAACTTGGGACAATGTGATGAGAATACCAATTCCACCTACCAAGTCAATGATTTTCAAACTTGATGAGTATCAAAATAATCAGTGAAGTTGGTTAAAAATGCAGATTCCCTCAGAAGATTCTGACACATATGCCAGGGTTCTTAAGCAGTTAGGCTTGGGAATACCTATTACTAGATCAAACACTAAAATGTATAGGAAAACAGATCTTGATTGATGTAATATATCCTGATTCTTGTAAAAACAATTCAGTATGAAGTTCTGTAGTCAAAATATTTGAAGTTGAATACTGGCATTGGTGTTTAAGAGTTAAAAAAACAGGCAAAGTAATTGATTTATTTAAACCCAAATGCTGTTATTTGCAATAGGAGAGAAGCCTCTATGAAATAGCCTAGATAATACAATCTTAAAACTTCCTAATGGTAAATACTCAATAAATGCATTTTCTTTCATTTCCGTTATCCTGGATCTGATTCCATAATCACACAGAGGCTCATATTCTTTTCCTAAAAAACAAGAAGCCAACCCAGCATTATTTAGGAATGAGTAACAAAGAGTATGTTTAATTATTATTTGTACTCTGCCTTGTATGCATCTAGAGTTAGCTTACTGTAACAGCAATAAACGTTTAAATATTTATAAAAATGGGTTAAGAAAACAAAATAGGTCAAGGATTGGTCCATGGGGAAGGTGGACAGAATAGATACACAAGCCACGAATTCTTATATACATGCTTATCACTGAGCCACAATTTCCTCAAACACAATCAACAAGGAAAGGGAGTAAGTGTTTGCATAGTTTCATTCTCCAGGGAGGAATTAATTACAATCTAATGCTTCTAAGTTTTCTTTCCTATTATCAATTTTGAAAGTATACCAATGCAATTGCTTTTTTTTTTTTTACAATTGCTTTTTTTTTTTTTAAGATTTTATTTATTTATTCATGAGAGACACAGAGAGAGAGAGAGGCAGAGACACAGGCAGAGGGAGAAGCAGGCTCCATGCAGGGAGCCTGACATGGGACTCGATTCCATGTCTCCAGGATCGGGCCCTGGGCTAAAGGTGGCGCTAAACTGCTGAGCCACCCGGGCTACCAGTTTTTTGTTTTGTTTTGTTTTGTTTTTATTCATGACAGACACACAGAGACAGGCAGAGACACAGGCAGAAGGAAAAGCAGGCTCCACGCTGGGTGCCTGACGTGGGACTGAATCCCGGGTCTCCAGGATCATACCCCAGGCTGAAGGTGGCACCAAACCGCTGGGCCATCGGGGCTGCCCTATAATTGCTTTTTAATGTAAGAAACACAAGACACAGATTTCAATTGAACAAAAGTGAATTTAACATTTTAGAATTTCTTTTCCTTTCAAGCTTTGGCCTGAAGGCATATTAGCCTACTTTATAGTTTATAAAGGACATCTATTTACAGCAATGCACTTGATTCTCAACATGACTATATGAAGCAAAAAGAATGTTTATTATTTATATTTTATACAGAAAGATGCTGAAATTTGAGCATTTAAATGAGTCACATAAAGATACTTAGCTAGGAAATAGAAGAGCCTGAAATGAGTTATAAATTTACTCATTCATTTGCTGGAAATCTGTTCAGTATCAGGACTTTTACTAGGCTGTGAAGATAAATGATGATGTAGTCTGCTGAAGGAGAAAAATCTAAAATGAAAGTACACTACAAGTGGTCATGGTAAAAACAAATGTGTATAGAGTATTATGGGGAAAGGGCATGTAACACAATCCATGAAATTTACAAAAAGATCTCCCTAGAGAAGTGAACTCTGAGCTGAATATTAGAGAATGCCCAGGAGTTATTAGGGAAAAGGAAGGGAAAAAACCAGGCAGAGAACCATTAAACGAAAGCAAAGATGCAGAAATATGGCCAGAAAACATGTAGGAAATAAATCAATTTGGAATTTCTGGAACAAAATAAAAAGCAGAGTAATAAAAGAAGAGGCTGGAAAAGTAGAAAAGGGCCTATCAAAGAAGAGAGTTATGTGCCGGATGACACTGGGTTCTGTAGGCAGTGAAGAACAGAATTTCATTCCATTCACGTTATACTAATCCAGAGACAAAGCAGATGGAGCTGAAAAAGCAAGCAGGGCAACGGTTAAAGGACTGCTACAGGAAAAAGGAGAGATGACAAGACACTGAAAGCAGAGCTGGAAGAGTATCTTGAAAAAGGACAGCCTGGAAATGATCAGCTAGAGTATACATTTTTTACAGTTACTGAAAGCTCAAAATAAAGTACACTTTGAAACTTAATGAGAGGCTTATTTCTGGCTTTTAGACCTTCCTTCTAAGTTAACTTCAAAATGGGACTGCCCAACACAGAAGAACCTTTAAGAGACACCATAAAAATTGAGTACCTTGATCATGTGATTTCCTTCTGATTTTTGGTAAAGTTTTATTCTTTTCTTCTTTTGTAGCCACCCCAAATCTTCTAATATTTCACCACTGAAAGATGATTCCACTCGAATACCCTTGTCACAAGTACCAATTGGCTCATTGAGTCCTTTTTCTTGCTTCTCTACATCTTCACATTCTGAATTAACATAGATCAGGAAATGATCGCTTGACTCTGAACTCATCAGAGTAAAACTCTTTTCAGAAAAATGTTCAATTAAACTCTGTTCAGGAAGAAGCTGAAGAGTTAATTCTCCCAGAAATGCCTTCCAAGAATTATCGAAGTGATAGGGAGAAATCACGATATTCAGCTTTATAGACAAAGGAGAAAAAGTGCCACAAGTCTCTTCTTTATCGTTTGATTTTGAGATGCTCACTGCCTCCGAACACCTCTTTTTATCTTTGTGAGCCACTTCTTCCTTTAGACTATCACCTAGGATGATGCAGTGAGCAGAAGAGAAATCTGAACCAGAGCAGGGGTTCTCATCATCAGTTAGGGTGAGAGGTTCATTTCTTCTGTCTTCATGCATATTCCAATGAAGCTGCTGTTGTTTTTCCTCATCAACTCTCACTGGAGGAGCACGTTTCCTCCGGCTACTCATTTTCAAGTTTTCTTGGTTAGCAAATGTGAACTCTAGGAGACAAATGCAACAAGTAAGCATTCCAAGAGAGAATTTTGGTATTAAAGTGCTCCCAGATGAATAATTCACCATAAACTAACAGCTCACACACATAATATGAAATCTTAAAAAGATACAAAAAGCAATGGTTAATTTTTTTAAAATAAGTCAAATACAGGTAAGGTCACATTGATAATCTCATGCATCATAGAAATTCAATGGTCTTACCAGTTAAGACCATTGATAATGGATAAACGTAATACTGTGTTATATAGAATAAAATACATTCTAAAAATGCACGTAATGAGCAGCATGACACTAAGGTAAATCTCTCAAATATCCTGGAAATGCTATTTGAAGAGTTTTAGTAACATTTAAACTCATCACAACAGAAATTCAATTTTGTTTTATAATCCCAACAGGTTAAGAAAACTTCCCTTGACCCACACATAGCTGAAGAATTCCCGAATATATATATTCTCTCCCAAAAGAAGAAAATAAAAATACAGAACATATTTCTTTTTTATGAATTGGCATAAATAAGAATAGCTGGGCAAGGAATAAGCTGGTGATGGCAATCAGGGGAAATGGAGCAAAGACAAAAGAAGAAAGAGATGAAAAAATGTAGGAAAAAGAAGAGAAAGCTTTGTCATCTCTGAAGTGGAAATTGGTCTGACACCAATTAGGTAGGGTCAAACTACACTTTTCCCAAAATAATAGCCAATTTCTATATGAAACACACAACTCAGAGGTTAAATCATGAAGTTCTAATGATGATTGATGCCTAATTCCACCTATTCTAATGATACAGCTGGAAAAAAAAAGGATGTATAAACAGTTAAAATTTAGCTTCAAGGTAGTTTAAGAAATATTTTCAATTTGGAAAGTTTATGGACTGAAAGATGCAAGATGTCAAAATGTCAATTCCTAGATGTTGACCTACAAAGTAATCCTATTCAAAATCCCAATAGGCTTTTTTCACCCCAGAAACTGACAAGTAATTTTAAAATTTATATTAAAATGCCCAAGATCTAGAAGGGTCAAAATAATTTCCAAAAAGAAGAATAAAGTTGAAAGACTTACACTGATTCTAGGACTTATACTGAGGGTAATTAAAACAGTGTGGTAATGGTATATGACATACTGATCAATGTAACAAACTAAAGCATCCTGAAATAGACCCATACATGTATGGTCAACTGATTTTTTTTAAATGATTTATTTCCTATTTATTTATTTATTTATTTATTTATTATCTATCTATCTATCTATTTATTTATTTTAGAGAGTAAGAGTGAGCATGTGGGGGGGGGGCTGGAGAATGGGAGAGGGAGAGAATCTCAAATAGACTCCCCACTGAACGGAGAGCCTCATTTGGGGCTTGATGTCAGGACTCATGAGGTCACGACCTAAGCCAAAGCCAAGAGTTGGATGTTTCAACTGACTGATCCACTCTGGCACCTGGTCAATTAATTTTTGAAAGAAATTCAAAGGCAATCTATGGGTAAAAATATTCTTTTCAATAAACAGCCATATGCAAAAAAATGAACTTTGACCTTTACCTCTCACCACATATGAAAATTAACTTGCAATAGATCACCAACTGAAATACAAAAGCTAAAACTATAAAACTTCTAGAACAAAACGGGAGAAATTAAAGTGACATTAAATTAGGTAAAAAAAATTTAAATAGGGCACAAAAACAGAATGCAAAAAATTGATAAAGTTTCAACAAAATTACATATTTTAGCACTTCAAAAGATACTGTTATAGAAAGGAAATGGGAAGTCAGATGGGATGGGATGCAGTATTAGTAAAGCAAGTATCTGATGAAGGATTTGTATGTGGAATAGAAAAAAGCTCACATATCAATAGTAAGACAACCTTATGACAAAATGGAAAAAATTCTGAACATACGCTTCACCAAAGATGATCTACGAGTGCCAAATAAGCACATGAGAATATCTTCGCCATCATCAGTCATTAAGGCAATGCAAATTCAACCTACAATCCATGACAGGGAACTATATATGTATGTATGTACTAGAATAGTTAAAATTTAAAAGACTGAAGAGGTAGAGCAACTAAAACTGAACTCTCAAACATGAGGAAAAGTCTATCAATTTTCTTACAAAATGAAATACAAACTTTCTGTGCAGCCTAGTAATCCTACTCCTAGATATTTACCAAAGAGAAATAAAAACATAGATTTACAAAAAATATTTATTTTTTTTTAAATTTATTTATTTATGATAGTCACAGAGAGAGAGAGAGGCAGAGACATAGGCAGAGGGAGAAGCAGGCTCCATGCACCGGGAGCCCGATATGGGATTCGATCCCGGGTCTCCAGGATCGCGCCCTGAGCCAAAGGCAGGCGCCAAACCGCTGCGCCACCCAGGGATCCCCTACAAAAAAGATTTAAACTTGAGTGTTAATAGCAATTTTAACAAAAGCCAAAAATGGAAACAGTCCATTACCTGGTAAATGGATAAACAGGGGGATATTTCTTGATAACCTACTGATACAACATACAATGAGATGGATGAATTAAAAAAAAATGGATGAATTTTTAAAGCATTGCGCTAAGTGAAGGAAGCCAGATGTGTAAGACCTTATATCATTCTATTTATGTAAAATTCTAGAAAAGGCAAAAACCTACTGATCGAAAGTCAGTGAGTGGTTACTAAAGCAGAGGAAGTGGGAAGAGGTGGACTGATGGCATGGAGCAGGAGAGAAAGTTTTGGGATGACAGAAATGTTCAACAGGTATTTACGTAATTGTATATACTTGTCAAAACTCATCAAATGGTACACTTAACATTGCTGGATTTTACTATATGTAAATTATACCTTAATAAAGCTGATTTTAAAAGTGCAAACAAAAAGGAGATGCAGAAAAGACTTAAAATTAGAAGAGAGGGCAGCCCGGGTGGCTCAGCGGTTTAGCACTGCCTTCAGCCCAGGGTGTGATCCTGGAGACGAGGATTGAGTCCCACGTTGGGCTCCTTCCATGGAGCCTGCTTCTCCCTCTGCCTGTATCTCTGCCTCTCTCTCTCTCTCTGCGTGTCTCCCATGAATAAATAAATAAAATCTTAAAAAAAAAAATTAGAGGAGAATGCAGTGCCTGGGTGGCTCAGTCAGTTGGTTAACCATTTGCCTTCAGGTCAGGTCATGATCCCAGGGTCCTGGGATCAAGCCCTGAGTCAAGCGCCTTGCTCCATGGGGAGTCCGTTTCTCCCTCTGCCTCTGCCACCCTCGCCCCTAGCTTGTGTTCTCTTTCTCTCTCTCTCTCTCAAATAAATAAACAAAATCCTAAAAAAAAATAAAATTATAAGAGAATATTAAGAACAGCTTTATTCTGGGATACCTGGGTGGCTCAGTGGTTGAGCATCTGCCTTTGGCTCAGGGCATGATCCTGGGGTCCTGGGATGGAGTCCCACATTAGGCTCCCCGTGGGGAGCCTGTTTCTCTCTGCCTATGTCTTAGCCTCTCTCTGTGTGTCTCTCATTTATAAGTAAATAAATAAAAATCTTTTTTTAAAAAAGAACATTTTTATTCTAATTAACTTGAAAATTCTATAAAAATGAGTAATTTACTGACAAAATATAAATGGATAATTCTCTTAGTAGTCACACTGCATGTGGCTTTTTAACTTTAAATAAGCTTAAATAGCATCATAAACTCAGCTCCTCAATCTCACTAGCCACACTTTTAAGCACTTAACAGTCATATGTGAACAGTGGCTACTATACTAGACAGTGCAAATATAAGACATTCTCAAAACTGCAAAAAGGCTAGCAAGTAGTACAGGTCTAAGTCAATCATGAGAATTCCATTTCCTTAGCCAGTGCCTGCTTTATGAATCTGCAAGTAATAAACTGTAAACAATCTCTTACTATGGTTAACTGTAAGTACCTTATCTTGTCTATGATCTTGGAAGAATAATACTGGAAGCCCCCAATAACCTATGTGTTTATCTTCGTCCAGTTCTTATCAGAACATAGGTTAGAATACTGGAATTTGGTCATTCTGCTAGAACTCTGAAAAGTTCAGCTATATCAACTTATTAGTTGATTATGGCCACAAATAATGCCAGATAATTGTACAGCACTCCAAAGCTCAGTATTTTAAGAAGGCAATCATTTAACCTCACAGATCTGCAGGTTAGCTGGTTAGCTGAGGGTTGGCTGATGTAGGTGAGGTTTCTGGAGGAGTTCAACCCTGCTTATAATGTAGTTCTCATTTTCCTCCTAGGACCAGTAAAGCAACTCCCAAATATACTTATCACCATAGCTGAAGGGTAACAGTGTAAATCCAATCACACAAGTACTTTTTAAAGTGTGGTCACAGCAAAAGTACAAGGTTCCACAAAATAAATAAAGCAAGTCACAGTAACGGACCAAACTGAAGAGGGAGGGTAATGTACCATACTTCTCTACCGGGTAGAACTGCTAATGGCAGAGTGTGGATATGAGGCGGCAGTGGTGGTGATGGTGGGTTACATAATTTATTACCAACAATGCTAATATTAAAAACATGGCAATTACGGAATTGTTAACTCTAAAAGACCCAAAAGGAACTAGCTATAGAATCTCACAGCTGCAAAGCAATGGCTTACAGAAGAAAAGATTCTAATTCTAGCTTTGGCATTTACTGTGTGCACAGATAGTTATCTAACTATCTAACCTCTCTGTGCAAGTTTTCTCATTTCTAAGATGGGGATGATAGGATTATCCTTAGAAATAATATAAGTGCCATAATATAGTTAACAGAAGTTTAGCATACATTCAATGAGCAGTAACTGCTAATCACCTCCATCTTTGAAACTATAAATTATATATGCTAATAACCAAGCTGTAATGTGGTAGGATGGAGGACCATGCATCTGTGTGTCTCAAACTTGACTGCACATTAGAATCATCTGGGGGAACTTTAAAAAATCTTGATGCCCAAGTTCTACGCTAGCCAATTAAACCAGAACTGAACATACATTCATGATTAAAAAAAAAAAATCTTATTTGGATTCTTTTTTTTTTTTTTTAAGATTTTATTTATTTATTCATGAGAGACAGAGAGAAAGAGAAAGAGGTAGAGACACAGGCTCCACACAGGGAGGCTGATGTGGGACTCAATCCCAGGCCTCCAGGACCAGGCCCTGGGTCAAAGGCAGGTGCTAAACCTCTGAGCCACCCAGGGATCCCAGAATGACTCTTTTCTTAAGGGATTTCTATCCAGGGATAACTTCTTGAACCAAGAAGATGTCATCAAAACTACTTATAATCATAATGTTAATTGGCAGCTAATAAGTCAAGTACCAGTAAAATTCTGTAGATTTCTAATCATATTCCAAATCCTTCTTCTGGTTTTCTATACACTACCTGAGTCCCATTTTTGATTATTCTACTTCTTATTCCTCCTCCTTAAATATCAGAGTTGGGTAAAACATGTTTATTTGAGGTTTTAAAATAGGAACCACATCTTAATTGTCCTACATTTAAGTGTAAAAAGCCTTTTGCTTGAAATGCCCTCTCATACTTTTTCTACCTGTTGCTGTTCCAATCTTCCCCAGAAAACCTTCCACCACCAGGCATGCTGAGTTAAGGGCCATTCCTCCCTGATCCCAACTGCTGTACTGTTCTAACTGTATGACTTTGAAGGCTATGACAGCTGGGCAGGAATGGTATCCTATTCACCACTGTACCCCCAATGCCAGCATGGAATTGATATTCAAAACAAGGTGAAACAAATATCTCTAATTCCCCAAATACCAAATATCCTCCCTCTTAAGTACTATGTTCGTTTTTAGACAAGAGTCTCTTAACCACATTCTAGAAGATTACAAGTCATGTGAAACTATTCTTTACTATTTCTGGCCCTGAATGAGACAGAGGAAACTGACTGACCCATACCTTCAAGAGAAAAACAAAGACAGATTTTTAGAAAAATAAACATAAAATGTTAAGTTACTAAGACAATATGACAAATGATTACTAAACTTTGATTTAGATTTTTTTCCCCTCCAAATTATTATCTCTTCATTAAAAGACACATACAAATCCTGACTTAAAACAATTCCATGGTAGGCCTGGATTTAGAACTTAAGAACAATAAGAAGTATACCTGTGCCACACTGCTGCCCAAGGCGAGCCTTATGCAAGCAAAGCCCAATCATCACGGATTAGTGAGAAGCTTTTGATGATCTAGCATTATCACAATCTTTCTGTAGTAACGACTTCAGCAAGATGAGAGTGTTTTCATCTAGTGAACCCCAAAATGTGTCAGTCACATAAACTTGAAAAATGCCCTCAAAAAGAAGGCATTTTTCACCAGTACATTCTCTTCCTCCGAATCTTTGTAGCCGGAACTTTTTTTTTTTTTTTTTTTTTTTTATATATTAATTTTTATTGGTGTTCAATTTACCAACATACAGAATAACACCCAGTGCTCATCCCGTCAAGTGTCCCCCTCCGTGCCCGTCACCCATTCACCCCCACCCCCCGCCCTCCTCCCCTTCCACCACCCCTAGTTCATTTCCCAGAGTTAGAAGTCTTTATGTTCTGTGTCCCTTTCTGATATCTCCCACTCATTTCTTCTCCCTTCCCTTATATTCCCCTTCACTATTATTCATATTCCCCAAATAAGTGAGAACATACACTGTTTGTCCTTCTCCGATTGACTTACTTCACTCAGCATAATACCCTCCAGTTCCATCCACGTTGAAGCAAATGGTGGGTATTTGTTGTTTCTAATTGTAGCCGGAACTTTTAATAAAAGATCTAATAATTCTGCAAGTGGAGTTCTTAGGCTTGGGCCAAAAGAGGACATATACATAGCAGCATCTTTCAAAAGTAAACTATTTTATTGTCAACTGCTAGCTTATTGGCTAATTCGACTTGGGAAGATCTAGCAAGCACAGGTTTACCCAGTACATACACACGTCTCTCGTTAATGCTCAGTAATGCTCAGCATCATTTCTGACTATAAACCAAAGGGTCTTTCTGGTGACAGTACAGATGTTACGCATCATTTCTATTAATGGACGTTTCAACATCTTGCTACCATCCAATAACAACAATTTTAAGTAGCTGTAATGACTTTAAAATGATACTTTGTTCGGTTAAAGAGTTAAAGTAATTTAAATACACGTAGGAAAACATCAAACATCTAGTATTTCTGCCTCCTGGGTCCTGTAAAGTCACTTAGAAAAAAAAAAACAGCACGAGCTTAATGGCCATTAATTAATAGGGCTATGTCTGAAAGTGACAATCATCAAGTAACACAGGTATCTTTGCTCATCAACCTAGCAACGACCACGGAGTCAAAACGCACAACGTACAAGGATGGTTTTGAGAGCGAATGTAATTCATCGGACTCCAAAGGTAACTGAGAACTTTCAGACTAACTTGGAAGCCTCGCCTCCCCCTTCACCACATTACAACCCCGAGCACCAAGACGCTAGGCGGCGGCCCGGATCCAGTCTCCAGGGGCGTGTGCCCGACGAACGGTGATACCCACTCGGTTTTCTTCCGAAACTCAAGAGCGGTTCACGGAGTCTGAGCTGGGCTGGCAGCGCCGCATCACTCGCGGCAGGCCGGGCGAACAAGCCACCCGCGAGGCCGAGGAGCGCGACGGCGGTCCCTCGGACGCTCGGTCTCCACACCGCAGGCCCCAGCCCCCGGGGAGAAGCACAGCCTCCTTTCCCACGGCCCTACCTTCCCCCGGGGGAGCCGAAGCGGTCCAGCGGCCCCCAAGCCTGGGATGGGAAAGGGTCCGAGAGACTCGCGCGGAGGCTCCCCTTTCAGCCCTTTAGCTTCCCGGGTTCCAGAACAACAGTCTTCCCTCCCGGGGACCTCCGTCTCCGAGTGGGGGCGTCTACCGTCCCCGACCTCTGACCCCTGACCCTCCATCACCCAAGCGCCTACCTAGGCTGGTTCTCTAAGCCTCTTGAACCGCTCTGCACCAAGGTCCGGGGCTCTTCTAAAGCCCCCGCAGGTCACGGGCACGCATTCGCCACCCACCGAACACCAGCTTAAGACGGGCACGCGCGCTTTATGCTGGTTTGTGTCGGGGTTCCCGGGGGGCCCAGAAACCACAGCTCCCAGCTGCCGGGTGCGCGCTAGAGCGTGGGGTCAAGGCGAACGCGCACGTCGGAGCGCCCCGCCCCTTTTCTCCGGTGATGGCTTCATAAGTCGCTTCTGCGCAAGTCCACACGGTGAAAGCCTCGCGGAGGATACAGTTGGAATCTCGCGATAGCGCTGCCCCACATTAGGAGTTCAGGATTGGTTGGAACCTCCAAGGGGGAGGCGGGGCCCTACGCAGAGTATTAGGAGTGGGCGGGGCTCCCCTGGAAGCCTGGGATGGGAGTTGGTTGGTGGCGTGAGGGACCTGGCCGGCGAGACCTCTGCGGACGCACCTCTTTTATTCCTTCGAGAAAGCAGAGTCTGAGCACGGATGAAGCTTAGCTCTTTCAGGAAAGTTATTTTAAGAGACTTTTCAGGGAAATATGAGTATACAATTTAAGAGGAGGGAAGAAAAACTGCGTGTATTGTGTGAGTCTGGCCTTCTAATATCTTTTTTTTTTACCCCCCCCCGCCTCGCTGAGAGGCAGCCTCTTTTCCCACCGATGCAGACTTAAGTTTAGTTAACTTTGGAATAACTGAACTCGTTAAATGGAATAACAAGAACTCGTAAAATGATCCTCAGGAAGCGTCAGGCACTCAGTGATCAAGGAGAACCTAGTAAGGATTCAGCATTATGCTAAAAAGGGGCGTCTTAGGTCCGAAAGTTCTTGCCTAAGAGAACATCCGTTGTAGCTGCAGAGACAGGTCAGAGCGGTCCATAGCCTGCCCAGTACAGAGCTTTATCACAGACCTCTACACTTGAAAGAAGCCACTTACATCAACTAAATCCTGTCAAGTTTGCTGGAAATCAGTTACCTTACCCCAGGCCTCGTGAGGCAAAGTTGAAAAATTAATACTACCTCTCTGATTTTGCCTCGTTTTATTTTTCCCTTTTTTCCCCTATGATCTTGTTTTGTTTCACATATGAGTGAGAGATCATATGATAATTGCCTTCCTCTAACTGACTTAACTTTGCTTAGGAGACAAACCTTGAGGCTCTTAAGCAATGAGGGTTGCTGGAGAGGAGGGGAATGGAGGACTGGAGTAACTGGGTAATGGGCATTAAAGAGGGCACCTGAGGGGGATCCCTGGGTGGCGCAGCGGTTTAGCGCCTGCCTTTGGCCCAGGTGCACGATCCTGGAGACCCGGGATCGAATCCCACGTCGGGCTCCCGGTGCATGGAGCCTGCTTCTCCCTCTGCCTGTGCCTCTGCCCCTCTCTCTGTGTGTGTGTGACTATCATAAATAAAATAAAAATTAAAAAAAAAAAGGGGCACCTGATGTACAGAGCACAGGGTATTGTATGAGACTGATGAATCACTGACTTCTACAAATGAAACCAATAATGCATTATTAATTAATTGAATTTAAATAAAAATAAAAAAGATAAAAGAATAATAGCAAAGAAAAAAAGGAAAAGTAATATTAATGCTGGAGCAATGGGCGAGCAGAGTCCTTCTTCACTGAAGAACTGATCATGTTAGTAAATACAAGAGGAGGGATCCTTTCTTTAGGAAGTATAGTTTGAAAAGTATTTAAATGTATATTGAACTGTAAAGTGTTATGTTTGACAGTTTCATTTCACTTCTTACCATTGGAGCAGAGAATTAATTAAGCTCATAGTTTGCTTTGAGCCCGTCTGGTGCCAGGCAAAATTAATTAATTAATTAATTAATTAATTATTTTCCCAGAGAGAATACATTTTAATCTGCTCTAGAGTAGTGAATGACATAGCATCATTAGAGATATTCAAGGCTCCCTTGCTAACCCTGGGAGCAAGGGACTAACAGGAAACTAACGATGTCCTGCCCTGGGTCAGAAGCAAAGATCAAGATACACTTACATACATAGAACAAAATAGAATAATATGTAACTGAATACAAAATAAAACATGCATTTTGGACCTGTGGTATGCACATTTGTGTAGTATAAGGGGATGTAATGGAGAAGTGAGCTACCTAATCTGCCCAGCCCACTGCAAAATGAAAAATTATTAAGAATTCCAAGATGGCAACAGGCAGCAAACCTTTGTGGCAGAGCACCACACCTGGGAGGGCCCTTCTGAGGAGGGCCCTCCTGTACACCTGCACAGTCACACACCTGAACCCCATCCTGGCAGGGAGGATAAAGATTAGAATTCATCTCCACAGACCACCTGTTTCCTGAGTGATCTCACTAGGCTAAAGCTATAGATTCAGTTCCTTTTGGGAAAGGTAACTTTATTGTAGCCACACTCTAATTCAAGTTTCTTTTGGAAATGAATAAATTGTTCTTAAGGAGGAGGACTGGTTGAGAGAGAATAGGTGAATTAATACAAACTTAACTCCCTTTCTGGTAGAAACAGGATAGCTGATGATTTATGGATAGAACTTTCTATTTTGCAAAGCACTTTCGGGTTCATTTTTCTATTTGATTCTTAAAATGATAATATGAGGTATTTAAAATTCTCATTTTACAGAAGAGGATTCTGAGAGAAAAATTTGATGATTTGCCACTGTTTAGCTCTGAGAGAAAAGAGGATATAGAACTCCTCTTGACTACTCAATCTAGGCTGTTGCTTCTTACTACTAAGTCATGTATTTGTCTATCAAATAAAAATCAGCAATTGACCCCCAAACTTCCTAGGTTGGCATGGGAAAAATGAAGGCAAGAAGTTTATAATTATTTGGTGACACAGGGCTGTATATATTAACAATAAGGATCAGTCAGGTCCAGGACTGTTTTTTTTCCCCTTAAATAGGTCATTAATAAAATTACTTGAGAAGTTTATTCCATATTGTACTTACTTTTGCCTGCTCTGTGAAAGTGAAGATGATGGCCACTCAGTATGATTGAGGCTTGCCAAAGATGACTCTTTTGCTTTTTCCTCTACTACCAACCTGACTTGGGACTGCTTTTCCTCCTCCTGACAAAATGAAAGTATTAGGATAAAGTCACTATTCCAGAATGAATTGCAATGCCCAAAGCCATTGTTAAAAATCTGTGTAGTTCTTTTTTTTTTTTTTTTTTTTCAATTAACAAGAGGGTTTATTGAACGTTTGCGCAAACGGGACTCTCCGCCTCCGAGGAGGAAAAGAGCCCCATTAGCAATTACAGGGATCTTTTAAAAGGCAAAAGGAAAGAAACCGCCTAAAGACAAAAGAACCGCGGGAGTCGCAGGGCATCCAGGTTAATTTCAGGGAGGGTCAACATGAACCTATTCAGGGACATTCCAATCAGGGTGTGGGGGAAAATGGTTTTCTTATTGTAAACAGAATGCTTTTAGTTGCTAAAATTTCAGGAAGACGCCTGGATGGGCTGCCTCTGGATTAGGGCTGGCCCTACTTACAAGGGGGGAGGTTTCTTCATTCCCTCCTCTTGTTTGGGCTGATTTTAACCTTAAAATCTTAGGGAACATTTATTTCTTCAGTTTGGAGGGCCCGACATTGCTGAGTTAATACCAGAGCTTGGGTAATAGACTATCTTTCTCGGGTGAACTGGAGCAGCCGGTTGAGGACGCAGTGGCCGAAAGTTAACAGTAGTTCTAACAGAGAGTGGGAGAAAGAAAGTCATGCAAAATTGGTGCTGGCAGGGGTGATCAGCTGTGTGTGAGGGAGTGTATGCCAGGTCAAACAAAACTGATATCAGGAGGATTGGGCATGTTTTGCTGTAGTATGAGCAGGATATGTTGCAGGGCAGGAGGTGTGTGAGCTCAACACAAATCTTCATGTTTAGAACTTCACAGCTTTTCTTCAGCCTAGCTGTGGATAGATGTAATTGTTAATTTTCACTTAAAAATTTCCGTGATTATTTACAGGTTGGATTTATTTCAAACTCCAAAGTTATGTCTCACCTGCTTCAAACTCAACCTGAAAACTGAACATTCAAGCTGTGTGCCTTCTGTCTCTCACAAATTATAAAGCAAAATTTGTAATCTGTACACAAAATGCTGCACTGGACATGAATTTATAAGGAGAAAGTAATTCACTATTTCTAAGTGTTTGTTTTGGTTGTTAATAAAGCAATACTTATAAACTAGGTAAAAGCACGGAGGAAGTTGAAGCTGAGTTGGTTGGGTAAAGAAAGATGTGAGACACATATTCAGTGTTTCTCAATGAAGATGACATAATCTGTATCATTGGTCCCTTTCTCAGCAACTCCCACACTCTCCATTCCCAATTGTTACTTTTTGCTAATATTTTTTCCAACCAGTTTTGTCAATAGGGCCTCCAAGCATCAAGCAACAGGAATATTGTAGGTGATTCTATTGATGCTTGTGACTTAAGTTATATTTATTATGCAGTTTTGAAAAAATACAAATAAAATGTGTAGGGTTTTTTGTTTTTTGTTTTTTGTTTTTACTATTTCAAGGGTTACTATCATGTGTCATAGTAAAGTACAAAAGTAGTTATGAAACACTTTCAGAATGAATCTAAAATCTCAAGCTTGGTCATAGTACAGTTAGCATAAAGTGATACTTGCCAGAGAATATAGAAACTTTCCAAAGCTTCCATCCACTAGAAGGGTAGCACCAAGCTCAAATATTAGCACTGGTGTATTGGTTAGGCCAGTTCTCCAGACAATGGCAAAAATAGTCTGAGTGCAATCTCCTTTAAATTATGTTAAATTCTTGAATTCCTTTTTGAGGTCTTAAATAAACTTAAATACTTAAAACCTTATTTTTTTTTTTTTACTTAAAACCTTAAATAACACATGGTAATAGGATATAATGATCAATCATGTCCATGTGCCGTAACACCCCTGTTCTATTTGCTCCTGAGAAATTTTAAACAACAAACCGAACTATCCAACCATTCCATATAATTCTAGTGAAACCAATTTAAAGAGAGATGTTTGGGAACCACTTGAGTAGATAATCTCCAACATATGACCTAACTGACTCCTGGATAGTTAAAAAGCAAGCTCATATAAATCAAATCCTTAGTTCTTCTAGCCATGTGTTATAAACTAGGACTCCAATCCCAGAAACCTATTTTATACCTTAGAAATACCAAAATTACTT